TGACCCAGATGTTGCTTGGAAAGTTATACAAGCAGCTGTGGAAACAGCAGTGACATCTACCAGTGATTTAAACCAAATGGTTACAAAAAACCAATGGATTTCGTCAAGGTCTATTGCACTGATAGATTCTCGCAAACTCATCCCATCAGGTTTTGAATACGATGAAGAGCGTAAAGAAATCAAATCTAGATTAAGCAAAAGTCTAAGGAATGATCGTGAGCATTGGTGGGCAACGAAAGCAAAAGAGATGGAAAAGGCGGCGGCTATAGGGAACACAAGACAACTCTACAGACTAATAAAAGAAACTGGAATTAATAAATCAAGTGTAAGTCAGACCATTTCGGAAAAAGACGACACTCTCATCTGCTCCCAGTCCAGACGCTTAGAACGATGGGCGGAACACTTTAAGGAGCAGTTTAGCTGGCCTTCAGCTACTCTACAACTACCCTCTATTCCCAGACAGTGTGAATGGAACATTGAAGTAGGTCCCCCAACTCTAGCTGAAATTCAAAAGGCTATAGCTAATCTGAAACGAGGAAGGGCAGCTGGTCCAGATGGATTGGCCCCAGAGGTCTTTAAGGATGGTGGTCTAGTTTTAGCGATAAGGTTGACTAATATTTTAGCTAAAATCTGGGAGTTAGACGTTATCCCATCTAACTGGTCACAATCACTTATCGTCCCAATATTTAAGAAAGGGTCAAAATCATCCTGTGACAACCACAGAGGGATTAGTTTGACTAATATAGTATCTAAAATACTAGCTTCGATAATTTTCGGACGCCTAACTAAGACTCGTGAACTGCAAACACGTGAAAATCAGGCTGGCTTCAGACCTGGTCGTGGTTGCATCGACCACATATTCACCATTCGTCAGGTTCTAGAACACAGGCATACTTATCGGCGTCCGACAATGGTGGTATTCCGTGATTTAAAAGCAGCGTTTGACTCTGTTGACCGAGAGGTTCTGTGGCAGTGTCTGTCATTGAAAGGCGTACCTCAGAAGTACATAAACCTTGTGAAGGCTCTTTACTCGAACACTACTAGTCGAGTCAGAGCTTATGGCGAACTGTCATCTGCTTTTGCAACCTCAAGTGGCGTCCGTCAAGGCTGTCCACTTTCTCCTTTTTTGTTTAACTTCATCATAGATCTACTGATGGAAATAACGCTCTCATCGACTGACTTCTCGGGTATTGATCTCCTACCAGGAGGTCCACTTATTGACTTAGAATACGCAGATGACATAGTCCTGTTTGGTGAAGACGCTGATGAAATGCAGAGTCTTTTGGTAGCACTGAGCAACAATGCTAGAATGTTTGGGATGCGCTTTTCTCCCTCTAAATGCAAGTTGTTGCTTCAGGACTGGTCTGCATCAACACCTGAACTAAGGATAGGGGGTGAAGTAGTCGAACGCATTGACAACTTCACTTATCTTGGAAGTCTGATCAGCCCTAATGGGTTGGTGTCTGACGAAATCTCAGCACGGATTCGAAAAGCTCGCTTGGCCTTTGCCAACTTACGTCATCTATGGCGAAGGCGAGATATCCGTCTATCAATTAAGGGACGAGTATACTGCGCGGCAGTTCGTTCCGTCCTTCTATACGGCTGCGAAACATGGCCTTTAAGAGTGGAAGATATTCGTAAGTTACTGGTATTTGATCACAGGTGCCTTAGAAACATTGCGGGTATCTGCTGGGGTCACCGGGTAAGTAATAGTGAGGTTAAACGTAGGGTATTAGGGAATGATGGTAAATCAGTTGATGAGGTTATGAATCTTCATCGACTGAGATGGTTGGGCCACGTGTTGCGTATGCCTGAACACCGATTACCACGACGCGCAATGCTGACTAGTGCAGGGGATAATTGGAAGAAAGTTAGGGGCGGCCAAACCAAAACGTGGCATCAGTGCTTGAAGTCACTAACTTCTGGGCTGAGCCATGTTGGGAGATTCAGACTGCCTGGTTGGGGTCCGCGTGACTATCGTAACCAATGGTTGGAGACTCTTGGTGACATGGCTCAGAATCGATCACAATGGCGTCGGTGTATACACTCTCTGTCTTCCTTTAAACTAAGAGATTAAAATCACTTCAAATCTTTCTTTCTACGAACTAATTCTATCTTCCTGTACTATATCCTTATACACACTCTTTCTTCTATATATTACCACCACTGAATTAACTACTTCTATGAATCCGGTGTTCATCTTGTTGTGCTAATGCGGTATGGCAACTTGGACCGATGCATATACGTGCCTGGTCCTACGTTGCAGCTGACTGACTGACTGACTGACTGACTGACTAAATCTAGTTCAATAACTAATAAACCTCGAATATCTGGCGTAAAATAGCGATAAGTATAACAATTCCGTTTTGTTGGCTATAATGTAACTAATCTCAAAATATTCACTTCGAAAGATGGGTTTATTATGTTTTTTATGACCTGTAAAAACGTCAAAACCTGTAAATGATAAAATCGTCTAACAGTGTATCAAAACAAATCATACAAATGTATGTCGTGAACAGTGGAGATAAGTCATTTCGGATATAAGGCAGTTACCTACCAAAGACAATGAAAGATGGTCGCGCGATGTCGTGGACTGATTGGAGTTAAACAATAACACAGCTGGATACCAACTCGGTGGTCTACAAGTAAAGCTTTGGCGTGCGAGACCAAAGACCCCAGGTTTGAGTCCTGTGTGCAAGGTCATGCATGAGAAAAGCTGAGTCCCGCATTAGGATGAAACGGCCGTCTAGTGCATCCCAGTTCTCAATGGTGGTGTAATCTAGATCAGTTCACGATTTCACTGAAATTCAACAAACTCCAAAATCTCTTACCGATTAAGAAAAATTTAGTTGGTACAGCACAGATTCGTGTAATATAATCCTAATTTTGATAGTTCGTGTTCTGTTGTGAAAAATGAAACATTTCAATTAATTGATCGTTAACAACAAGAAAAATCACAGGTTGATTAATGTTCAGTAGTTAGTATTGGTTTTCATGAAAATAGGTCATTTGAATTCAACAACCAGATGTTGTTTAGATATCTGGAAACATATGGTGAACAATTAATTTTACCATTTACTAGTTATTACTCCAGACATGATATTAGAATATTTGCGACAAACAGTACGCATTTGTGGTTTTTTTTTCTAATTTTGCTAAATAACTTATCCATTTACTGTTACTAAATGATTAATTTAGATTTCATACTCCATTTGATGATTTTTATGTAGTGATATTATTATGGTTCCCGAAAATTTTACTAATATTTATCGATGTTTCATATCAATTGAATACAGGCAAATGGGTTATTTCCCAAAGTAATTTTTTTCTGTAATAATGTAACTTAATGAGGATTTTGATTATTAAACTGACACCAGGTGTAAATTCGTGAAATTAGCTTCCAGGTTAGAAATACTATCCGGTTCTCAAGACCAAAGTAGGTGGAGAGAATTTCGAACCTGAGGCTTGGTGGCTGAAAGTTGAGTACTTTAATCACTTAGCCAACGCTTCACTAGTGAGACAACTATATCACCACTTTGATGTAATGGCTTAATTAAAGGAATGCTTATAATAAACAATATGAAATGTTGGTAGTTTTAAAAGACATCGGATTTTAAAACTTTTATGTCTGGTTAAGATACTCAAATAGATGTTTACAGCCTGTAATCATTCAATTATGATACCGATCATCCAGCGTCCTAAAATAATTTTTGGTAAATAACCTGTTTTGTTTGATCAACAATAGCCATACATGAGACTCCTGATCTTCGAAACTTCAGTGGGATTAAATATCTAGAAGGTTTGTAACTAAAAATTATAGTTCAATCATAGAATGGTATACATGGCTCTAATTCAGCTATCATGAGATCTTCATCTTGTAAAACTATGTTGTGGTAACTGTTGGTAATTCATGTCATAAATTTTGAATCATAAATGTGAACAAATCAAAATCATTTTGATTCTGATTCAGTGATACCTAATGCGGTTAACACAAAATAATTCTGCACAACTATACCATTCCTTGAACAATAAGATTGGTATACATGATACAACTTTTAGGATGGTCCTTATTATGAGACTAAATTTCAGACGCTTGCTCTATACTGTGCCGGATTAACGTTACGGTACATTTATTTTAGTTGAAGGCGAATGAAAACACATTTGATAATCAATCGATATATAGATTACGGACTGTAATGATAATCACCATTCGAAACATCAAAGTGACTTCAAAAGAAAACATGTCTATAGTACTCTTATTCAACAATCCCCTTTCTCATCACCTAAGTAACAAATAACAAACAACATATAAATGCTCTTATATTTGGTCATTTCATCAGGAAAAACAAAATATGTACCAAGTAAGTTCAAAGAAAACAGAAACAAATATTTACAGAACCACAAGATAAATCCCATTCAATTCTTTATACATTCAGTACTGTCATTGAAGATATAGTGTACAGTGATGATCCAATTAATTATTCGCAGCGTATTCACCAATCATACCTTTTAAAATGATATATAAGTTAAGCAAGTTGCATAATTGAATAGTTCTTAGTATGATTCAAAATCTATTCAGATAATAAAGTTAATGCCCAAACTTTTCATAATGTTCAGTAGGAATCAGCAATGAATTTCAAAACGTATGTTTACCTTTATCCAGAACTCATAGTTAATAATTGGAATACACAACGCGAGACGTAACACTAGTTTCAAATTGTGTTTTGCTAAACGATGTTTTGATTTAGGATGAACAAATCAATGTTCGTATGCAACAGTACTTGTTTTTTATCTTGAGTCCAGCTATAATAAATTTCATTGTGAGTCATATTATTAACGTGTTGTGTCCCTTAAGTCTCAACTCTAGTTATAGCAATCATACGCATAAATAATGATTCAGTTAATAAAATATCTGGGGAGTCTGATTATCGACTACTTTCAGCACAAATTATATCAGAACTCACCTGAAGATCAAGAACGACAAAATGAGTGTCACATATTTAATTGTCTCTAGATTCTGAAGGATGTGTACAATGTCGTTTGGAATTTGAACGATGAAATACAATCCTAATTATAAAAGGCAATATAATAACAAGTGTAGATTTTACTCATACGTATGGGTGATCAATTAAATGAAGTAAAAAAAGCCCAGAAAAATGTTTGGAATACGATTTCCGTTAACACTGTTTCTATTGGTAATACTTAGTAAAGTATAAATAAACCAGAATACATTTACACTATTGTGAAACTGAGGAATTTTGAGTCTTTAAGATTTTTTATCAATGTACAATTTAGAATAGAATTCAATATATTCTTTAATTGATAAATTTCAAACTTCTAAACCAGTCTTCTGCGTTTATACAAATACTGCGCACGCATAATCGCTGCCTAACATATAAGGTACAATTTTGTTTAAAGTGTAGATAAATTTTAGAAAGCTTAGTCTAATAAGCATAATCAAGTCTATCGCTACGTATAAGCTTAGCTTACTGACTATAAGATCAATATTGAGAACTCAAGGATCCCTAACTTGGCTCTCGTTCTAATAAAACCCCAAAACCATTAGTGAAACGCTGTTGGTTGTTAAATATGGAATGAGAGGCATATCTCTTAAATAACTGGATAAATTCAGTTTATTAATTTAAATACACTTATAAGTAAATAAACAAATATGACATATGACACGGTTCCTAAAAATGAGATATGCCCAAAAATTAGTTTTAACAATCAGATCTTAAGTGATTAGGCAGTGAGTGACCTGCAAACTGATTTCTTCTAATTTATCATGTTTATTTTACGTGAATACTTTGTGTATAAGCATCTCATTTTATGACATAAAAAATTTATATTTCTAGCTAGCAGTCGAGGGATTACGTCAATAATTCCCTCTTGTTAGTAGTCAGTACTCTGTCACTTTGCATCATTGTATATTGCCTAATAATCAGCATTCGTTCCTTTTATTTCGCTCATAAAATCATGAAAAACTTTTCACAGCAAAATGAATATATATTTACACCGTGAAAAATATCGATATCCAACAAATTAGCCATAGTATACAAGTGAACAAAAGTATAATCAGACCGGAATATGAACATAATCATTCGAATGCGTATGATTCACCTATAAATATGGTATTTCAAACCAAACTTCTAGTGATTAAATGTGAAGGGCATTTCGATCAATGTACAGGAAAATGTATCTATCATCTAGGCACTTTATATGAGACCAACTTGAATTATGGATGGTAATTTCAACTGAAGACATCAGTAAAAATATGTAGAATTGATTTTTTTAAGTGAAAGTATAAGAAGTAACCCGAAAACAGCAGTAGCAAAGTTTCTTAGTCTCCGGTCTTAACGTCAACTTTTTGAAGCTAACAGTCGTAGTAAAAACCGTTGACTAACCTTGTTTGATCAATATTTCCCCTTTGATCTTGTGGTGGCGGTAAACTTGGTCCTTGTTTGGGACCTAATGAATAGGCTAATCGTTTTAATTCACCTACAGAAATAGGGGCTGTTGACTTTGACACTTGTGGAGCAGCTTCTGAGTTTGTTGAGTGCTTTTTCCTATATTCTTTACTAATTATAACGCGTGGGATTAAGGAGTTAGATGAATAGTGCTTCACTGTTTTGTTAGTGTCAGAGGATACCTTGTTGACTAACAACGGTGTATTAGGATTCGAAATATTCTCCAAGTATGGTCGACAACTTAAAGCCTGTTGGACAGAAAGGGGTATTGAACGTCTAAACAAAAACAAACAATAGGAAAGAAAACAAGTTAACAAATAAATTACAAGTACTCTAACTTTGCCATACAAGGTAAAATATGAAATGCTACATCTAATTAGCTGAAGGTCATGGGTGGAGCTTTAATGCTCATTTGTAATTTGCATCAAAGTACGTGGTGTCTCGGGTAGGAAGAGGACTTATTGCTACTGTAATCTGCACTTCGTTAAGTTATTTGGTGATATTGCTGCGGTAGTAAACGCGGCTACTTAGCACCCGCAATATTTTCAACCCAGACCCAAGATAATAAAAAGATAAAATCAAGCCTGAGAATATACATCTTATGGGAAAATAGCATTCATTACATATAGATTTCTTTTCCAGTGATCAATAATTAAATTTCAATAATTATAGCTCAAAACGGATTTTATGCTGAACAATTGTTAAAACAATGTGAAATAATTACTAGAATACAATGGAGTATAACACATTGATAAAATTAGTGATTAACTTTGTCAAAATACAGTCGAATGTTGGACTGAGCGATTATCACATAGGATTAATCTTTGATCCCACTCTAAATCAGTTATCACCGAGTATTTTCAGTAACTAGTTTACATCTACCTAGTTTGCAAGAGAGCATTAGATCGTTTAACTGATACTTATGAATTAGATCATATGACTATATATATATATATATATATATATATATATTCTCAACGCACAATAGACAAAAAGACAAATATACAATCATTTTTTGATATGGGATAATGTACAGACAAAATGAAATCCAGAATCTTCAATGAAAATGCAAGATAGTTCTACTGCACTGAGTTGGAACTTAGAGAACTACTACAACCATCATCGAAAAAGTGCAGGTACTTATGAACAGTTGTCTATGTAAGATACTCATTATCCGTTGGCCGGAATCCATCAGTAACAGCTTACCATAGCAGAGAACAAACCAACCTCCAGCTGAAGAGGAATTTAAGAAAAGACGCTTCAGGTAGGTAGGAAATATATTGTGGAAACCACCAAACTGCACCACAAGGTAAGTCCTAACTTGGAATTCTGAAGGCAAAAGGAAAAGAGGAAAACCAAGGGACAAATTGCTTCGGGAATTGGAGGCAGACATCAAAAGAATGGATAATAGTTGGATACAACTGGTCGGAGAATCCTCGTGCGTGGCCTATGTTTCTTCATGAGGAGTAACATGTGTAAGCAAGTAAGTACAGATTATTTACCGTACTTATAAAGTGGGTATTAGACTTGGGGAGTATATGGCATCCGATACCTCACGAGCCAAAAAATTGTAAGATGATAAGTGCATGTGATTGACCAAGAGATGGCTTATATATATATATATATATAGTATACACACATTCCCAATTAAGTTTACTCAATAAACCCCCATTCTCAATCTTTTTACTTGAATAGCCGATTGAGCTCGTGTAAAGGAAGATTGTGTGCCAGTATCAAAGCGCACACCGCATGTCACGTTTTAAACTGCACATAATTTTGTAGTTGCACATATCTTTGGTAGAGACCCTTTGAAACATAGCAAGACAGATATTTTCGCACACTGGAAGTTAAAGCAAGATAAGCAAGCACCAGAAACGTTAGGATCGACAAGACGTTTATCTGGTTGTAAAACCTCAGGTAAGCAACAACTGCCCCCAAATGCCCTGGTACGGCCGAGAGTGGGGAGAGTCCGCTCTCCCTCTCGAAATGCTCTTACATGGCCATGCGTATATAGCTTCTGCCAGGGAAGTCCTACTCACTGCCTTCTCGTGGCGGGGGTGTTGCTTACAAAAATGAGAGGACGAAAAGCGAATGTCTGGCGCTTTAACCGGACCCCAAACCAATAGTGCACATGGGCTCCATTATCCTGAAGGGACAAATGGCGTATGAACCAATCGTTGGTCACCGGCTACCATGGGACTGCATCTCCTCACGATGCTCCACTGCCTTGTGGGTCAGATCTTCAGGTCGAAGGCTCGGGGTGTGGCCCCCTAAGAAAACCACCTGCTTCGGTTTGGGCACCCGAGCAGTATCACAGCCCTCACACAAATCAATTGAGATTCGTGTGGCGCATATGTACTTGGTGCCTCTCTGTACCTATACTTATGTGTTATAATAAAATAAATAATAATAAAGCAACAACTCTGTAAGCGAAGTTCTATTCTGTGGTTGTGAAGCCTGAACAAAGATGTTCACCAACTAGCAACGTATGATCTCAGCTATTGTCAGAATGATGTTCACTTGAATGCTCTGTTGTAACTCCATGTAGTCAACTCTGAAGTTGAATGGTATGCTTTTTGATGCACGGAGTAGTGTGTTATGAGATTAGAATCAGGACATAATATCTCCCCTAATAACAACCTGATCCGTATCTATGTTAACGTAGTATTTTTATCAGCAGTGTTAAGTTTATTAGATTTAAAATGGGGTAGTTATAATGAGTGGTTACTGATAGTTATATAATGAAACCAAGGAAGGAAAATTCGACCATTACAAAAAGTACGATCATTTTACTCTTGTCGTAAAATTACAACGAAAATGAGTATTTCCATAAGAAAATCAAACGTTACTGCTGCTAAAACGATAAAGAAAAATGTAGCAAAAACACAGTGAAACCATAGTGTACAATCCACTCACTTTGGGGCAACTGATAAATCACAAGGTGTAGAAATAGATGGATAATTGGTAGTAGTAGCAGTAGTAGAACAAGAAGCACTGGAATTACATGCTATTTGATGTTTGTCAAATAGTGTAATTCCAAGTTTCCTCCAATAAAGCCGAGAGTCATCTAAAGCGTCATATGATTGATAGGTGGCGGACTCATTAGAATGCATTGTGTTTTCTTTTGAAACCGGCAAAACAGTTATATCCTGATTAGTTGGTGTTTCTAATTTTATAGATTCTGACAAATCAGATTTTACTGATGTTGATGATACAGATGGTGACGGAAGAACTGAAGAATTTGGATTCGATGTTTGACATTTAGTACAGAATTTCTGAAGATACTCATGTTCTGCATAAAAATAATGTACAGAAAGACATTAAGCAATACGCAGTTTATTTTAAACACACCCCTAGAGATTACTAGTATTTGACAGCTTGACAAGAATCCCCTTGCATCATATAATAATTATCGGCCAAATGTAAATAAACAGCCCAACATCAACCAGTTTAGTAACAACAAAATATGACCATAAATAGTATATTTACCTTAAAGGTAATATCAAACAACAGTAAGTCGTAGTAAAAAATAATTCACGGAAATGAAGAATGTTGAAAAATGTACAACTTAGTTGCTGGATAATTTTATATGAACAAGTAGAAATATATAAAATAGTTACATAACCTCGAATAGAAGACTGAACAATTTGAATAGTGCCTACTATGCAATAAGCACTAGCTAACCGACGGTTTATAGTCACGGATGAACCATAAATTAGACGGCGAACAGTTAGATGAATTTTTTCTATGAATCTAAATTAATGATTAAGTAAGAAAAGAATATGCCAAAATAGTTTTATCTAGCAGTTAACTATTCCTAGCAGATGGATCATATTATAAAAAAATGAGGAGTGACTAAAATGTATGAGAAGCAAAAAACGTGACTTCAAAAATCACCACCTGTATATGTTGAGACAAAAAACTGCAAGTACATATTTTAACCATATGGCTCTTCTGTTGCATAATTATAATTTAAGGACTAAATATGTAGGACAATACAGTTGTTTAATAATTAAGTTGACTCGTATATGTGTATGATGTGAAAGCAGTTTTGAGACCTAAACCTGTAGTAACAGAACATAAACCATATACCCATTGATCCGAACGATATGTAAAAGCATATGCAATGACAACGTATAGACAATAAAAAGACTCGAAATAGGTGCACTGCTTTACTGTACTTGGAATTTTAGTTAGTAGCACTAGTTATTCTTCGTTACATTCCCCTATATTATTTTATAATTTCTAGCCAACCGACTGTTTACATTCAAATTTTACCTCTTGATAATCCTGACGTTTATTGGATTTCTAAACGACTTCTTTCGACCTTAATTAAGATAGACAAACGGAAAATCCATGCGTAGAAATAGATTTTAATAGCACACCAGGTTAAACCACGGATTTTTTTAGTAATGGAAATCAAATATTATTGTTAATCCTGACTAAAGATTTAGAATATCTACACTGCATTTGATAAAATTTAATGAATTATTTCTATTTGTCTCTTCACACTAACCACTCGTTAACAATCAAATAGCCCAGAAAAGTATCTTATTAAAACTCATTATACCAACCACGACAGACAAGTGAAAAATGTCCAGCGATTTAAAATAATAACCAGTGTGGAGTTTGAGTTCATCCGATAGTCTTACCCACTTTCCTGGAAATTCTTGCATTTAAATGCCTGCATTCGTATAGCTTCAAACGACATTCAGCCACAGTTTCATATTCAGGTGCATAACAAACGTGTAAAGAACCTCCGTAGAAAGAAGAATCATCTAATAAACGCTTGGCATATCTAGATAATATTTAAGGAAAAATCTCATGAATTTTTTCTACGAAAAAGAAGTGAGCTATCAATTTGAATTCTCACAAATATGTAAAAGGAATACGTTCACACCTTGCGGCTTTGAGATTATCATATTTTACGACAAAAACATCAGTAAATGTTTCTTTGTTTGGATAATCAATAATTTTCACCATACTTTGAACATTCCCATACTGTTTGCACTTCTCCTTTAAAGGGTGCTCCAGGTCCAGCGAGGGGACTCCGAATATCAGAAGATAACATGATTCATCAGCTACGGTAAAGACCTGGGAAATAATAAAGCTAACAGTTACCTTTACAGCTGTTTTGCGCCTACCATCTCGATAAGCAGGGCGAGTGAAACATGGACCCACTTTAACGTGATGAGAGAAATGTTTGGTCTGGTTCTCGAACTTCATGAATTTACGACTAAGAGGTACGAAATAAGATAAATTGTCGGCATTGATGACGGTCGGAACGAATTATTTTATGGGTTTTGAGCGGTCTGCAAATCAAGATACAGCGTGTATAGAATAGAACATTTGATAAATATCAGTTAGTAATAAGTCATGAGATGTTTAAAGTCGAAAAACTAAATCCCACCTAGCATTTTGTGAATTTATTCAGCTACTAGTGCCCTTCGTTTTGCATTCCACATCTATTCAGTATTTAGAAGTCAATCAGGATCACCAGGCCAAAAAACTGACCAATTTTCCAATGATCATAGAGATGACTGATATGAATACTACAAGGACTGGATGCATGATACCAGAACATGTGTTGCATAGTAAGCTTCCTGAATGAGAAAATGACTGCCACCAGTGGTTTTGAACATCGTACCAATAGTAGCTGCCTTATTAATGCAATCATCATAACAGCCTATTATGGTCATATCTTAATAAATAACTTGATATTTTACTATACATGACGGGTTAAACGAAAAACCGTAAGATTTGAGATAACTCATGTCTGAGGATAAACGTGTTGCTGATCATCTTGGTTAAACGACAATTAAGTGATTCTCACGGAGCCAATACTACGGGCTATTCTGCCTTTTTGTATGTGAAGCGGGGCTAGAAAAGGTCGTAACTAAACAAATCACAGCTCCTCCCACATGAGGTTTTGTGTCCAGATTAAAAATACACATTGACCACAGAAACAACTTGTTCGAAAGATTTCTCGTGGTGAGATTCAAATAATTGTCTATTAAGCTTCCAGATCGGTAACACAATTAGTACTAAGCCAGTTTAATTATTCCAACATAGTAACTATCCGTTAGCCTATATTTTGGTACTCAGCAGTATTTCGGTCGCAGTAAAGAATTCCCATTCGTTCTTTAAAGTCCACTAAGTAACGAGTTCCAATGCTGACTCATAATTTCTTCTTGGAGTGATTATTTTAGTTCTAGCTATATTCTGTTTCGTTCGCACTACTACCGATGCTTTTAATTCAACCTCTTCACCTTTTATATATTTCCTTTCCTCTAAACGTTTGCGTGAAGTGTAACTTGTCCTTAATACTAGGCATTCTGATTTAACTAGCAGGACATGCAATTTTATATTTAAGGTACATAAACTTTATAATAACATGCGTTTAGCTTGCAGAATTAGAAATGTTAATACAGAGAATTTATTGAATTAGATGTTCTTGATGAAACGCTACATCACTACAGGCTACAAGTACATATCAGAAATATGATGGTCTGAATTTGTACTTTGAATACAGAATTACCGTAGTAATCATGAAAATTCAACGGTTTGAAAGACAAAGTACTGTAACAACAAAAGCTTTTCTTGTTCTTAGAAATATTACACTTCTAATATCCCAATGAAAGTTCAAATTTTTAAGATTTTACGACTTTTCGCAACCCACTGAGTCACGATATGATGGCCGTGGATGCGCACAAAAAAAAACATTGTTAAGGCTAATTCCAATCAGAAATTTCAGTGACAATACAACTCGTTTTTTGATGTACTAACATGCAACCAAGATATCTTACCCACACAAGGCTAGTACTTACTAAACCTCTCACTGAATTTTGTCCAGTCTAGTCTCAAGTATAACCACTCATTCTCAAAACAAGTCACCTATTACTGCGTATCCAGAGAAGTGGGATTCAAACGTCGGAAAGGCGCAAAAATACCAAAATTGAGCAGTGTTCAAGATAGAAAAGAGTAGTGATAAGATTGTTAATGAAAAATTCTTGATTTATCAAGTAGCTGAATCGATACTGTTGATTAAGCAGTTTTTGTTAAACAGACACTTAATAGGCAGAATACTTATACTCATATGATCAGGAGATTTACTCCAATGATAATCCCAGCCATCTGATAGACTTTCACATTATAAAAGCCATAACTTGCGTGAAATGTCTGATAAGCCTTGAACTTTAGTGTAGCAATGAACGCTTTCATTCCAGGAGACTGAGATAGAGGGCTGGGTAATCACTTCTATTTCGAAAATTCCGTGAGAGGTTCCGAAATTCGACTATAACACATGGAAGTAAGAAGGGAACCTGTCTTCTTGAAGCATAGATTAACTTTACTATGGTTTGTGTATGTTGTTTGAAGATCGACTTAGGTTAAATGAGTCGAGAAAGGACAAAACATCCATTTGAGCAGTCCGGTTGGCCAACTGAGGTAGACCAGGCTACACTCATTTTTACTCAATTAAAGGCAGATGGGAAAAACATCTGAAATTTGTAGTGACTACAGCCCGACACAAACTCTTCCGCTGTTGAAACAGAACTGCGCCACTGAAGAAACTGGGGATGCCGTGTATAAATTATGAGGGTCAAGGTATTACTCTAAAATAGACCTGAAAAATGAGTATTTGCAAATTAAACTAAAAAAAGTATTTAGTGAACTAACCGCCATTGAAACACCATTCGGGCTATTCAAATACAAATTCTTACCATTCGCAGAAGTTCGCAAATCAGATTATCACCAGCATTAATGGTGTTGAACCGTATCAGCTTGATATCGCAGTTCATGCTAATAATACCAAGTTCCATAATGAACGTCTTTCAAAGTTAATTAGACGCTTTTGTGTCACAAATATGGCCGCAAATGTGTCAGTTTCAACCCAGTTCCACCAAGTGTCTTGACTATGCCGTAGATTCAAGCAACGCCACCTACGAATATCTCTGCATTCTGGTTATGGATTGTTGCTCTTGAATTTTATTCCACGTTTACTCCTAAATTTATACAATTGTTATCTCCGTGTTTTGACTTGATTTCTAGTAAACAGTTTTGATGAGGATAGCGACAAGAAATAGTTTTTGAATAATGTTGCTTTTTCAGACTTTTGGCGACAGCTGAAAAATTCATCCTCACTAGTGATAAACCTTCACTGGTGTCAGGTGGTGTTCCAAAGCAGGATGGCGAACGTCTTGTTTTTAGTTTCAGACATTTAGATAAGAAAGAATAAGTATACCTTTATACCAAAACGACTGTACAAATACTTGTTTGGTGTAACATTCCATATTATAACTGATCACCAGACGTTTATTTCCCATCTAACCAAGTCACTCCATCAGTCAACTACTGTTATTATCCATAGATGGAATTAAAATTTAACTGCCTATGGTCTTTCCATTGAGCAACAAAGGGTCAAAAGCGTGTCGCATTCATGTTCTGTATGACACTATTCATATTTTATAAGGTCATCTAGCGAAAAAGATTGTATGTTGGTTCGACCATTACCTGTTGAAATTTAAGAGCTTGTGAGGGATACTCGTAAATAGTCTAAAGTTGTTACAAATACAGTAAGATGGGGTAAAATATTCAGTGCAAGCGTGGGTTTCCTGAGTTTTTCAGAAGCATAGAAAACATAATGATAATGATATATTCCTGCATGAGCAAGTACACTTTATTTTTACAGACATGATCTACAAATTACAACATTTGTTGGAGCATAGCATGCTTCCCAACTTGTTAAGTTTGTATTTGATATAAAGTAGACTCGTAAAGCGCTTGCTGTAAGCCATGACCTTTAGGTGGCGCGTTCGTCAGTTTGTTCCAGACGTCAGAAGTTCCATGGCTGTGCCTTCAGAGCAAGATTCTGAAAAAAAGAGAAACATAAGAGCATCAAGCCACTTGAACATGAACGCCAAACATTGCTTAACATTGTGTAGTAGAACGGACAGAGGCATAACAAATTAGATTAAATTTATATTATCTCTTTTTAGAGTGAAATAAAGTCAGAGGCTCCATATAAGAGAATGTAGTAATAAAGAACAGTAAGTTGTGATGCTTAACAAGTTGGAGTAAGCTCACAAGTAGGAAGGAAAGTCAAGGTTGATACAAGGAAAGCGGTTTGTTAGAAGGGAGTGTGCTTATAGAGGGTGAAGTGTTAAGAATACTGATAACAATATCTTTTATTGTCTAATTTTTCCTTTCTTTTCTTTTTTGTCCATCCGATACCAGTCACACAATCCTAGTTTAAAAGTTCGAGTTAGCAAGTTATAGGTTGTCTCAGTAGAATAGCTAATCCGACATAAAATTGGAAACATGAGTCGGAGTGGTGGGCATAGGAAGACAATCTATATCACACATTGATTGACTTGTTCTCAATAATAAAGAGCCTGATACATACGAAATGTTCTGCCCCACAAACACGGGTGGATTGAAGTCATCGCCCTTACCATCAATGCTTGCTGGCTGGTAACTCCACTCTCCCTCCTTTTATGATGTTAGGCTCATTTAAGCTTATTTTTGGATATATGTTATACCTCACACAGTCCTCTGTGTTTCACATCCTGTTGGTAAATACTATTTCTACAAGCACCATTTTACAAGCTCATCAGGCGGTTACAAATTATGGACTGTGAGTAAGGCATCGATGCAGTGCTTTAATTGACTATAGTACAAAGTATAGTTTGCCAATCACAGTACAGGCATTAAGAAGGGTATAATGTAGGATAGTTGTTTAATAAAGCAGGCAGAAAGGTATAGAAGTATATGAGTTGTAGATAGTGTAACGAGTGGAGAAATAATATTGATTGCTGGTCAATATAGTGTGCAGAAGAGCAAAAACTAATAAAGAATAAACACGAAGAAACTCACACTAACTTGGTGCTTATGTTATTTTGTGTTGTCCTAACCAGCTGATGGGTAACAATCTCCATAGATGCAGGTCGACTGGTAGTAGGAAGTCGATTGTGCGGTTCTCTTGACTTTTTAGGGTGATAGTGAGTGTCCCTTAGTGACCGAGTTTAGTTGAGCAGTATCGATAGGTCCAGTAAGTTTCCTGTCTACTTTAAGTGAAGAAAATAGAGTGGAAAAAGTAACTAAAACAACTGCAAAGTAGGAAAAATAAGGCAAACTGAACTTGAGGTCCATTTTGCTCTAGACATGGAGAGAGCCTATGATGTCTGAGTGGGGCGCAGATGTGTTCGTACGTGCTAGACCAGTTTTGGTGAGGGCTTGATCAAGAAGTTTTACAGACGTATGTAATTCATCTGCCACGAGTATTTCGGAGGGAAGACTGTTCCGTATTATTGCATACTTGGTGAGAAAGAACTTTTCCCGAGTTTTTAATCTGTATTTCTCAACTTTGACGGTAGATACTTTGTTTCAAAGTTCGTATTCATGTGAATCTCGGGCGAGAACTATCTTACATGTTGAATAAGTAAGGTTTTTGAGTAATTTGAAGCCTTCTCTTCCAAAAGGGTGCTATTCCTAAGATACATCCAGATAGCTTTTTGTGCTTCCGTTGTAGAATAATCACCTGCCTTACATTCATATCCGCAGTATTAAATGATCTCCATATGGGTCAAAGATTGAAAGACTGTTCCGATTGTTTGCATGAGCTATCGTATAATAAACAAACTCGGAATCTTTGGCCTACATCTTATGAATCGTGACAACGTATTCACCTGGATTACTGTCCCATTTTTAAACTCATTAAGATTAAGCTATTACTGATTCATATTCCAAATGGCTAGAAGTGGTGCTCACAAACAATACTTGTGGATAATTCACTCAAAAGGCAATGAGGAAGATATCTATTCGTGAAGGAAAAACCAGTGCATCGGTAACGCATAATGGAACGTCACAGAAAATTTAACATCCGGCTTACTGTTATTGCATGCAGTCATTTTATTTACAGCTCCACGACATTTTCAGTCGAATTCGAACGATTCCCCTGTTAACGAATCGTTAGACGATTCTGGTTTTCAGATCGACGAAAAAAATCCGAATGCTAAGCAATTGAGAAGAGCTAGTGGAATTGGAATAAACCCAAACAATATTACAGAAACATACTTAGTACTTTGAACTTGAGTTCTTGATTATGTCTTATCGATGTCCTAGATTTGCTTATATTATTAATATTTCGTTATATTGCTTCGGATTCCTAAAAAACTTATCGTAAAACGAGGTTTTGTGTCACCGCTCGGAATTTTAATTAACAACTAGGGGTTTACTTCTAAACCAATCACACTTGATAGGTAAACAACAGGAAGGAGTGAAATCTTTCACGTACCTGCACGGCATTATTAAAAAAACAAGGAGGCTTCGGCACAGACATAAAAGCAAGGGTTGGCAACGCAAGGACAGCATTTCTACAGTTGATGAACATATAGAACATAAATAACTATCAATCAATATCAAAGTCAGGATTTTCAACATGAACGTTAAGACAGTCCTACTGAACAGAGATGAAAATTGAAGAACTATCGCAATCATCATCTACAGGGTACGAGTATCTATAATCAGTTGACGGCAAGATACTAAATGTCCGTTGGTCGGAAACCATCAGCAACAGTCTACTGTGGAAGAGGCTAAACGAGGTTCCATTTAAAGAGAACATTGGGAAAAGACGATGGAGGTGGACAGGAAATCACCAAACTGCATCACGAAGCAAGCACTAACTTGGACTCCTAAAGGGAAACGGAAAAGGGGAAGACCAAAGAACACACCACGTTGGGAATCAGAAGCAAACACGAAAAGGATTGCCCAGAACAGAATTGGATGGAGAATGCTGGTTACAAGCCTATACTCCTCCATGAGGAGTGACAGGCATCAGTAAGTAAGTGAGTAAGGCGTTTGCTTGTTTTTCATTTTTTCCATCCAGGATTACTCAACTTGTTTGTCTTAAAAGCTGTCACGAACCACAATAGCTCTGCGAATAGGCAGATCCTGTAGAAGGCCTAATAACCTCGTAATTCTCCATATCTTACCGTCTTTCAGTCTGAAGAACTGCTTCTGATGAGTAATTAGAATTACCATCAATAATAGGATCATTGTCTTTAATCTCTGTCTACCCGCTTCAACCCTCGACATCTCCGTTTTTCTGATATTCCAATACTTTGTTAATGTATGTTGTTAGTTTACTTCTGACAATTGTCTTTTCCCTGATTTTTTGAACCGAGTTTTAGTAACTTTTACATTGAAACCAACGAATCTTTCTCCCGAAAATGTAGTGAAGATGCCACAGGTATTCAGAGTTTGACAATGCTTTAACCAGTAACAGCTAATATGAATCGTACCCACCAAGTGAACTGAAAAGACAGAAGCGAGGAGGTTCGAAGATATATTTGATAGGCTATCAATATATCGAGGATCGTCTGATCTAATCTGGCTAGCGATTGCAGTAGATGCTGAGCACGGCGTTCCCACTCGTGATCTGGTGCGGATGCATGACCAAGCGCCTTTAGCTAGATGAGTCCGTTAAAACTATGTGGCCAGGATCAAATGTCGAAAACTTACAGAGCTATTTATTTTGGGGACTTATTTACCTCTACAGTGGTATCTGATGGTTCCAGCAAACTTACGAATTTGATACAAATTAAATCACTGATATTCAGCTATTTGCGACAGTTCTGCCCGCTGAAATATCAGATCAGAAGTTCATAATATAAAGATGCTGATATATGTTTGAACAAAGGTCGATGTATCGGGGTATATGCGATCTAAGCTGATTACGTGCCGCAGGGTTGCGCAGCACGGATTACTAAAACGCTTCTGTTGCTGATGCTACAGCAGTAAAACTGTCAAAGTCAATATCGGTGACCTACAAAACCATTTATCTTGGAAATTTACTTATTTACATCTCACAGTAACACAAAGTAGCTATCTCACGAAAGTTAGCTTATGTGTATTAGTTTGTCACAAAAATATCGGATTTGTAGGATACTATATCCCGTTGCTGGACTGTAAAAGGCTCTCGTGGGACAAGTGATATTAACCCCTCTTAATGAGGGAGAGCTATAGCTTCTAGGATTAACACTAAGAAATTCGTTTTTATGAATTCTAAAGCTGCGCAATAATAAACATATGCGCTACTAATCCTCGTGTAGTATGAGTTGTTGATAACATTTCTATATTCATCAATAGTATATTATATCTACATTGATTTGCCTCATTGTAACTTGTATTTGTATTTGATGTGGCAGATGTAAGTTTGGATATCTCAGGTTGTTTAGTATCAATGGAAACTAGATGTTTTGAATTATTGGTTTGTTGTTAGCATTACGTTTGCCATATAATTAAAAATAACTGCCATCATGTTTTTTAAAGCTTTTCCGTAACATTGCATTATTTGTCCAGCAGAGATGGACAACTTAGTAAGCTCTAAGATTATGAAAAATGCTAGCCTACTGTTAACTAGTACAAGTTAAATTTGCCTTGTGAACAAATCACCCTTTATTAACAAATAATTCAGAATTTTGCAGATTGTAGACTGGTGGTTAGTTTTCCTAAGTTCATCAATACTAACTAGCTTACATGTATTTTCAAAACCAAGGTTAGCATTAGTCCCAGTAAGTCTGCGTGTTCGCTTAGTGAATAACAAGTTATCAGTTGACTTGGTAGGCCCTAAGGTGGTTAGCGTCTTAGGTGGATTTATTCTCGACTTAATATATATGCGCCACACAAAACAATGATAATTTGAAGAGAAGGAGAAAAGAGAAAAAAATAGTAATGAACCTGCGGAATTATAAAAAAAAGGGAGAGAGAGAGAACAATGGTGGGGGAAACGGAAAGGTACAATCAGAAGAGATCTTTCAGTTAAGGAAGATACAACCACTTTTTATGAAGAAAGTAAAAGAAGGTTACAGCAGGATCACCATTGGCTTCTATTCTTAGCCATATCTGATAACGTCTCTAGCCACTGCGTTACACCGTCTCTCGGACCCCAACCAGGGCGTCGTGAAGGACCAACAGAAGCTAGCCCTTTGCAGCTTTCTTTCATACCACGACACCATGTCATATACTGACCACCTCTCCGCTTTTTCCAACCAGTCCCAGAGTCGGCAAATAATGCACGACGTGGAATTCTCTGGGACGACATTCGTAGAACATGTCCAAGCCACCGAAGTCGGTGTTTCAAGATGGTGACACCAATTTCATTATCGTCTCTGTGACCGAACACTCGATGCCGAACCTCTGCATTACTGACATGGTGTTGCCACTGGATGCCAGCAATCCTTCGGAGACAGCGATGATCGAACACAGAGAGTCGTCTAACATCCTCAACTCGGAGAGGCCAGGTTTCACAAGCATAGAGCAAAACTGCTCTCACCGTCGCGTTGTAGATCCGACCTTTTACAGCCAGACTAACATCACGAAGGCGCCAAAGATGGCCCAGATTGGCATAAGCCGCTCTGGCTTTCACTATACGTGCATTGATCTCATCACTCACACCAGCACTTATGCAGCTACCTAGATACACGAACTTCTCGACTACTTCAATCTGCTCACCATCCAGAGTGAGTACAGGATTAGAATCCTGCCAGTCTTGTAGAAGAACTTTGCACTTCGAAGGTGCAAAGCACATACCATACCTACGGACACTGATTGCCAACTGATTAAGTGCGGATTGCATGGCTTGGGCATTATCGCACAGTAAGACAATATCATCCGCATACTCAAGTTCGAGAAGTCTTTCTCCAGGCAACAGATCCACACCACCATTACTTACATCCGTCAGAGCTGTTTCCAGAATGTCATCGATGGCAAAGTTGAAGAGGAATGGTGAGATTGGGCAACCCTGCCTAACTCCACTGCTCGAATGGAATAGTGTAGAAAGGTGGTTGTATGAGGTATAGGTCAGAAAGAATGTGGTTACTATTCTGCTATAGTCTTGTATTTTATGAACAGTAGGATGTTCCTTTAAAAGAAACGAAACCGGTCTCGGTTGTTTTTCAGTTTGAAATATATCTTCCCTCAGTTCTTTTACCTCTTTGTAATGCCCTTCTCCTATCCTGTCTCATCACTAAATTATCTTTCATTGTTTGATGCGTGTCTTAGTCTATTTTATATACCTTTTTTTAAAGGGATAAACAGCCAATGTTTGGTCATTGACTACGTTTATATGTGTAACTTGTTTTGCAATGTAAATGTACAAAGTTGGGTATTTAGATGTGCATGAAAACAATCACAGGCTCGTATTATATATAGGTAGTTCTGTTCATTGAAGTAGATTTTATTTATTGTTAATCATTAAAAGTGCCGGGACATGACTTCAATTGTAACGAATGTCTTGCTGAAACGTTTCACTGATTATTTTCATATTCCATATTTTTGGATGAAATAACTGATTTAATTTTCATAAATTTTCATCTTAGATGAGTAATTAATTTTATTGATACTTTTCATTTAAAGGCTCTGATATCTTTATGACCGTGATAATCTGTAATATAATATGGAAGAAACAGTTGTTACTCCACTAAATGGTTAGTTATTAAGCGTTTTAACTGTTCATATAAACTAGCATCTTCCTTTTCGCGTCATTTTTCTATACCTTATGAGCAAGTAAAAGATCAACAATGTCCAGAAGTAACTATTGCTGTAGTAAGTAAATAATCACATGAAAGCAATATGTTTTTCAGAATCCGCATATAGGATGGTATAAATCAAGTGCTGACCGTAAAATGTTTCCGTTCCTCAGTACAAAGAATGTTAGTAAGCTTATTAATCTGTATAACAGTTACTGACTAATTTTAGCCAATCGAACCAGATATCAAAGCAGAGGATTTTATTTTATACAAGATGATAACAAATTATGAGGTGGTTATCTCTTCTACAAGAAGTGTATTCTATTTATAAATCTAGGATGTATTTTATTGCCGTCGTACACCTGAAAACGAATCAATACGTCTGCTGTACTGTTCTCATGCTTTAAATCATTCGCTTAGGTAGGTCACTCTTCTGTGTAGAAATGGAAAAAATTCGTTAATATAGATGTCAGACGCTTGTATCGAAGAATAATGAAAAAGAAAAACAATTCGGTGCGTCTGAGTGAGTTATTCATCTACTTGTACTTCATAAAACATTTATCATTGTATATCAATTTAAACTTTAATTACTTTGTATTCATATAATCTTTGTATACACATTTTTGCGCATTATGTGAGATGAGTAAATTAATTCTGTTCGTTTTGTCACTTCGGGCAACATATATGCCAGGGTATATGTATCCCACAAACAGGTATAACATTACGAGAACAAAATAGGGGAGTGTAGCAATAGTAAGAATGATCAGTACAGTCATTTGCGAAGCATTTGAAAAGCTCTGATTGTTCGTCACAGCCGTTGAGAATGACAGAGCTACTGATTTCCTACTGATTGTTTTGCCAAATATTTTACCATCTCATGTTACTTAATTCCAGAAAATTTAGAATCTCATTTAATAAGTCTTAGTGCATAAACAGATAATAACCAAACATGCTATTATTTAATCCTAAATAGCTATTTCATAAACTGGGCACAATCCCTGGGAGGCAGCAAATAATTATCAACATAGTAACCCCTCAGATAGCTCTAGTCATAGCTACCCGAGGCGAGGGAGTGATTTGATCGTCAACAAGACGATCCAGGGTGCTGATCGAGGTATGAGGACGGTTGTCGTTCCCCGGTTGCCCCCACTGTGGAGGGATATTTCTTCTTGAGGGACCTAAGAAGGAAGTCGTGATCTTAGTGACTTAGGAGCGTAATCACAGAGCCAAAGGGACAGCTGCTTGAGGCCGGTCGCGCATGGCCTCTTTGCGAGAAGCTTTTGATGTGTTAGCTCTGTATTCCAAAAGGTTTTACTACCGGAGACGGAAATCCGCGGGGTAAGGTGAGGTGTGACATATTTAGGATTGACCTATTCTAACCCCTTCCTTCTGTTGAGAGAAGGCATCACCGCTGCGGGTGCTGTGGAAACACCTTATTACTGTCACACCCCTCTACAATCGGCAGAACGACTTAGCCCTCAGACCCTAAGTTGCTGCCTTCAGTCTAAACATTCTCCTACCAACCTGGCTGGCATAACAGGACCTAAACAAACATGTGTTCCAGCCAATATTGCACGGTTGAATCATCAAGATAAGTAAGCCTGACCACCACGTCAAGGCAGCAGCTACTATCGGATGTTTGCTCTATGGGCGTTACAGGTAGAAATAAATGATTGCGTAGTCAGTATTTTGTGATGATGGACAGTCAAGACCAATTAGACTATTTTGTGTTTTTTTGTAATCCAAATTATATCTCGTCCCTTTACAAATACCCGGATATATTCAATCAGTTGTTTATTATGCTATTTGATGGTCATTTCTGAAGTACTAAAATCTTACCTACTTTTGAACTATTCCAGGGCTGCTTAAAAATATGTTTATCACTAATACTGTAAGAGAAAATATAATGAACCTGCTCTATTTTTATCTGATCAATCCATGCGAATTAAAATGTTTTTGAAATTCACACTTCTCATCGATTACAATCATTATGGTTACAAATGTGATTGTTCTAAACAATCAAAGTTAGTGTAAATGAACTAGATCATAATTTGTCGTACCCATCAAAACGCAGAACAATAACTCAGGAGAGTATGACCTCCATCAATGTAAATTACTCTATTTAAGACTACTTGATTCTCAATTCTTTGTTGCATATTAAATATCTAGTGGTTTTCATTCATCATTCCTCTCAATTTTTTCTATTCTATTTGAAATAAATCTATTTCTAGTTCTTTACGAGATCAAGGATTTCATCGGGCACGTACTCTTATTTTAGCACCAACTAAAGAAGCGGCCAGGCGAATAGTTCATACGTTTTTCCATTTGATGCCTAAAGGCTCCACAGTAAGTCATCGACGTCGTTTTGAACGAGATTTTGGTCCACAACCTGGAGATACTGACAAAGAAAAGAAAAAGGGAAGAAAACCTAAAGATTACGAAGAATGGTTCAGTGGCAAGTTTCTGTTAACTAATTTTCGTCTCATTTTCGTAAATACGAAGCTATCAGCATTTGAATAGAATTGGAAAATGATGACGATTGACCTTTAGACTAATCATTTAAGGATCTATTTATCCTGTGACTCAGTTATACTTTGAGTATGTTTTAGATAGTGTTGATCGTCGGCACACTTCCAAGTTCTTCCGAAGTTTGATTCTATCTTATGACTTTACAGCACTTTGAAAACTACATTCGAATAAAGAAGTCTGTTTCATTACAGATGCTTTGTAGTACCGGGCAAAATTTTTAAAATTAGACTTCACGTATGAGCATCAAACAAATAAAATAACCATTTAAGAAACAATAATATGTTCTGAAAGTGTTTACAGATTGCATACCGAACCACAGGCGTAGTTAGGTCGATCCAAGTAGTAATGCTTCATGTAAAACACAGATTTATGATTTTAGGTTGTTTGAAGTGTTATAGTTCAAAAATTGTCCATGTAGTACATTTTTCTACATTGATTACAACAATGTGAGGCATTATTTGGGAATTATTACGTTAATTCCTTAATTAACCGATTCAGCTACTCTTATTACTTAGTATTTTTCGGACACCACTCAATTAGTACTCACATCAGAACGCAGTTGATCAGGAATGGAATTACATTCCAAATAAACAACGTTGATTAAGAGTAGCAGTTACAACACGAAAACCGTTTTCGAATCTATAATTTGTACAAAAGAATATTCTAGAATTCTCACCCATCTTCTAACGCTGATTGCATAAAAATGGGTCAGTTAGCGTGCTCCAACACCATCCTGCATGTAACATGCATCACTCCAATCTATGACTTACTAACACATTAATTATTTGTAAGGAAACTAGGACATCCCATTGTTACATAAACAGTGTCCAAGGTCGTTTCCAGTACGGTACTTATAATCATCTATAATTAGAGAAAATAAAACGGAAACAGAAAGCACAGGACAATAACACCAATAATTACTATGATAGCTCTACCGTTACACATGTGCCGAGTTGTTTTATGATCTACTGTCCGAGATAAATACTATTTAAATTAGTTAAGTTTGCCGGGGATGAAGTGTAAAATATCAACGGGAATAGAAATTTAGTGAATGGACTTCGTGATAATAATGATTGAACATTTAATGTTCGTATAATTTCACTAGTGGAATGTGATATATTTCAAGGTGTAAACTTAAGTCAATTCCAGAAAAGTAATCATCGATACAATGAAAAAATAATCGGAGTGATTTTGTTTCATAAATAGTTCGCGGCAAATTGTTCCAGTGTTTCGAGAATTTACTGGTAAAGTAATTCTTATAGAGAGAAAATTTCGAATAAAACCGATTCACTAAAGTTAGCATATTACGGATGCTATAACTAGGCGTTTTCGCCTATTAGACTGTGTCAGTGGGTGTAAGGCGAATGATAGAAGTAGCAGTGATGTAAGGTTAGGTTTATAGAGTGTTGATTTTCCTTTAAGGAAAAGAGGAAAATAAAGAAAAGAGAAAGGGAAACGGAGAGCAATGGAAATAACAATACGAGTGGAAAGTACATCTCAAGGAAAATAGGGAAGTAGTGTATTTAATTTATTGCTTTCATATTTTACAAAATGCGTAGTTTTGCATAATTCATTAAATTGATTTACTACCCAAGACTTCGTTCATTACACTACTATCGTAAAAAGTTATTAGGTGTATAAATAATGTAAGCTGAAGTGAATTTGCAAGTGAATATTTTTCATTGTAGATTATGTAACTTTTAATTACTTCCCCTCGTGTGAAACAACCATATTTTTTTACTATTGTTAAATATACACATACGTTTTTTCCCAAATAATTTACTAGGTAATTCCAGTGACAATTTTCGTATTGGTATGGCATTTTCTAAAAAGTCTGTAAAATTGTATTCTGCATTCCGTGATTCCGATATAATTCTAGCTTCTCCTTTGGGAATTAAAACTGTTATCGATGATGAAGTGTAAGGATTTTTTTATCGTATTGGTTTATGTCATCCTTCAATGGTTTATTTTGTGTGTGTGTGTGATATAGTGCTTGTTGTGTTTCAAGCACCTATGTAACTTATCTCTTATTCAGTTATACCATTCGGTGTACTTCCAATATCTTTCTTAAGTATGTTCTGATGATACCTTTAAATATGATCTAAAAAATTCGGATTTTCGTTGCATTGATTAGAGAACACATTAGTTTTAGAATCATCTTCAAAACATTAATCTTCTCCACTACTGCAGACTTTTCTGAAATGGATGTCAATGTTTGCCTTGTGTCATACTACATTGTATTTTGAATTCATAAAGAGATGAGAGCTTTTGATCTCGATCGTTGTCTGGTCTTTAAGAATCATGGAAATGTTAAAAAATATGTTCTTCATGTTAATCACTAGGAATCTTGGTAACAAGTTAAAGTTTCATAAATGCTTATTCTTGAAGGCTAATTCACATCCGTTAATTTGAATCCCCTTTAACAATTGTCTTTTCACTCTTAGACTAGTTAATTCGACTAAAGTCAAGATTAAATATGGAGGGAAAGTGGCATTATTGAATGGTATATAAATTGAAAGCAATTGTAATTTTGCCTTATTGACATAAGTAGTTTCTGTTCACGATATCAGATGAAACGTACAAAACTATGTATTATGAATATCCGGCATACTAATCACCAAAATACCGTCTAGCCTGTGTTTTTTGTCTCTGATACTTGAATCAATGAAGTTATAATCCAATCAGCTCCTGATGGTATAAGTATACATATAACTACCGCTCTTCCTAAAGTATCTATACAAGATCCTGCTTATGAACGTTAAGTATTTACAAGCACTTTATAATCAGTTCATTCTAGTGGACAGGAAGTACAGTAGTGTCCGTTAGTTTCTTCTTCAGATCATTTCGCAATCTCTAAACAAGGAATGTAGTATCAGGTATGACTACAGGAGCTGAATCTAAAAACTTTCATCTGTTCCAGTTTATTTGAGTCACGGTGAGATGTTAATCTGATGTTAGTAAAACTACTAACAATCTTTAAAGGTTACTAAAATACTGAGCATGTATCCTCAAAATAAGAATATTTTGTGCTATTGTTTCAATGAAGTATGAAAACTTTGTGAGGGACTAGACCTAGATTAAATGAACTGACGTTAGTCGTTTGCACTGGTGATAGTTTATTTCTATATAAATCTAGTTTCAGTGATGCGATTGGAACCATTCGATACTCTTGACACTGTTTACACTACAGTTAAAAGGCGGTTACTACGCAAATGGTAGCATGATCCTGATTGCAACATTTTAAAGTATTGTAACATTTTTTATAAATGGTATTGATTTTAGTTTTGTCTCATATCACGTGATGATCGCTTTTGTAACTTGTTTTTTTTTGAATCTAACACAATAAACACATGAGAATTCTCAAATATTGAGATAAAAGTTTAAACCCATTAAACTTCTATATCTATCTGAGCACTTAGACAATGTCGTTCTTTCTCTGCACAGCAAATTTACTCTGCACTGTGCAATACAACGATATAACTGATCATTGAGTTAGGTTGATTTTCCCATTCACTGTTTGCATTTAAAACCATATCTTGAGTAATTCAATTATTATATTGATAGTTACTTATCATATTTTATGATTCTGTCACTACCTAGAACTCGTTAACTTCTTAAACAGTAAACTACTTATTACTCAGTTATAGTTGTAGCCAGGAATTTTCATTTATCTTTTTCTTGTTTGTATGTTTACTAATTTACACATATTCCACAATATTAGAGAGAAAGAAGCTGATGTTCAATATATCATAGCATCTATCGAATTGTTGATTATCGATCAAGCTGAAATGTTACTAATGCAAAATTGGGCTACTGTACAACAGATTGTCTCTTTACTCAATCAACGTCCAACTGTTCCTGTGTTTGCATCAGCTGCACGTATTCGATTATGTTACTTAGCTGGTTATGGTAGACGTTATCGTCAAACTCTACTATTCTCTGCTGTATCAAATTTTTTGATCACATTATTATCAGGTGAATGTGAAAGTGAGTTTATTCAACCAAAAAAAAAATCAAAAAATATAATTATTAATGCTATAATATAATCGATACATTTTCATTATAAAATGACATATCATCGTCATGATCATTATAAAGATTGATGTGTTAAAGTCTGGTAAAAAAAATCTGTCCCGAATATATTTAGAATAATCAATATAGAGTTGGGGGGGGATTACTGGGTTTTATTGTGATCTTATGAACTGATCTAAGTTAGACAACCATTGAAAACCTCAAAACACTGGACGGTACTGTTGATTAGTTCCATACGATGATGAAATTGCTATTCAGTGCATTCAAGTTTTCAATGGTTTTCTAACTTAGATCGGCTCATGATCTTCATAAAATAGTATAACGATATGATTATAAATGCTAAAATATCATTGATAGATTTACAAATTGGGTTTTCTTTAAAAAAAATGGTTCCAGTACATACATGTGAATAAGAAATGCATGTCATGGAACAGTAATGGTTCACTATATAATATATTCAATCATGTTCTCTCCACATACACAACTACCACTACCCTTTCCTTAGTTAAATTTTTGTAATTAGTCATTCGAAATCAAAAATGTCATTAAAATTAAGGTACGAGTATGTACTGTGTGCCGTGTGTTGGATGTGATTATGTAAGGTAAATTGTAGACCACTTTTTTAATCGTCATATATCTTTTCCGTATATATAGGATTTTTCATACTTATCTGTATTTTTGTTGTGAATTGAGTTTGGAGAGAAACTTCTAGGAAACTTTCACTGTAGTATTATGACTGTATATGGATAAACAGTAACTTTGATATTCTCCAACGACTATGCTATATCATTATTTTCGGCAATTATACTGTTTTATGAACTTAGATCTTCCTCGATAATGCATTCCTCCTTCTGAATTATATTTGATTCTGAATTGATAGTTTTTGAGTGGTTTTCAAATTTTTAACTCATATAGAAGCGTTTCTATAAGTTACATCTACAACTTTATTATTAAATGAATTCATAATAATTTCTATGCATCCATAGTCAATTGATCGATCTCATTCCCATCGTCAACGTTTTAATAATTTAATGAATGAATTTCTCTTTGTGTTATAATGAATGCGAAGAACACTTATTAATAGATAAAATGGAATAGCCGAGAAATGATAAAATTGGCGGATTGGTCAGAAATTAGAGACAGCAAAATATGGAATACAAGAATAAACACAATAAAATATCATAGGGGATTATTTTATAGATCACACTTAATCTTTGATCAATTAAGACTTAATTCTTGGGCATTTTATCAATTTTAGAGGTTTTCTTTTATTCTCATTGAATTTTAGATTTTCAAGGCATGAATTATATACCGCCATTATCACGTTACCCTGATTTATATCCAACATTTTTACCCGACTGGGTACGTATTCCTGGCCTGAAAGCACCTATTCGAACTGGACAAAAACGTCAACATTCAGATATGAGTGCTATAAAGGAAGGAGATAAATCATTGACAAATTATAACTTCAAGTTACATCTGATTTCATTTGTAGTTCCTGGACAAATTCCTGTTAAATTATCTTGTACAAAATTGTTCAGTAAAAATAACCAATCAGATTCAGATGATGAGATAGAAATATCACCTAATATGACCACTGATAATTCTCTTCATTGCCTTTCTAATCCCTTGAAAATAGATTCATCAACAAATTCACTACTATTATCTACTAAAACACTTGGATTCACTGACTACGCATATTTATGTAAGTTGTTGTTCGGAATGTTAAGTTAATTATCGTCTTATTATCGGCAGTATCAGTTAGGAAATTGAAAAAAAACCGATGAGATTGGATTATGATCTTGTATAAGTGGTGAAGCTCACCGTTTCATTTTTAGTGTTAATTGTTGAATGACTGACCGAAACAAACTAATGTAGTTTGTCTTGAAAAGCCTATCATTTTATTAGAATATTGATGTGTTCTCATTTATGCCACTAAGTTCACATTATTCTTGTTAATTGTATTCATCACATACGCGATCGATATACCACTCGAATCCCCACATACCCATACCCTCTAATCAGAACATCAGAAACCCAATTGATTGCTCATAAGTACCTTTAATTATTATTTATATATATACTCACATGTTTATATGAATAAACTATAATACTATAGTTGATAGGTCTCTTATAGGTAAAAATAACTGAAATATTTGTTACACAAAGTTGAGTAAAAGTCTTATAGTTAGTTAATTACAATTAGTATGAACGGTAATACTACAATGACAAATAATCGATTAAAATGTAGCTTACAATTAGTACCATATAAAAAGTACCATAAGACGACTAGTAAACGTACATGTTAATTTTTCTAGAAGAATGGAAACCCAAATTTCTGATTTCTCTTTCTTTCATTCAATATTCATGGTTAAGTCTTTTTACATCACCTCATGTAGTTCAATGTAAAACTTTTATGATAAGCTTTGGGTTTTAATGACTGTTTTTGTTTATAAATTTATATCATCTTTATTTCTCTCTTCTGTATTACATTTTTTACTCAGCAGGACGTAATGTTTCTATAGCCCGATTAAATGCCTTTAAACAACGAATATTACCTAGGCTACGTCGAGGTTCAGATCCCCGTGTACTTATATATGTGCCAGATTTCTACGATCTTGAAGAATTGCGCCAAATTTTACTTGCTGAATCGTTGGATTTTTGTTGTATTAATGAGTGGGTTCTTTAAAAAAATTAATGTTACTTACCCTGTTGTTAAATAATCTTATTTTACCATTAAGGTGAAATGTAAGCTTGCTTCTCTCCAGGTAATCAGGAAGTATCATAGCCTTCTTACACATTACGATGTGAAGTTGAATATTTTTGTGTAATATATTCGACTTTTAACCTCAGTAAACTGAAGGTTTAAACCCTGTTCTGTTTACCCTAGTTTGAGTAGCTTTACAATATCAGTAACCCTCACACAAATAGCGTGGATTAATGTTGGGTACTGTGCTAAATAAATAATCTACGTAGTTACTAATGCCTTGTGATATGACGTAGGATGTAGTCTTAAAGCCTACTTTTACACAATATACATGCTTTTATCACTATTTACCGTATAAATTTTTAAGTGGATGTTTTACCCTATATTTTTAGCTTGTAAAGATTAAATGAAGTAAAAGGTGGGGAACAACTCGGTAGTCAGCTTCTTATCATCGTCAGATTTACTGTCTCAATAGGCTTACAAAATGATCTCAACCACCTCACAGTTGTTTGAAAGCAGCAGTGAAATTAGATAGACGTCACACATTCCCATCCCCATTTAAATCTACCATTAAAAATACTAGGAATATCGTTAAACTGAATTCTATAGTGATAATGTAGACTTGTTCTATAAAGAGTGAATGTACAATATCATTTTACTCTGCGATGCAGTGTTATGTGATTAACACTATTCAAGTGAAATGTACATATGAAACGACCTTTTGTTTGGATTCACTCTTAACAGAAGTAATCAAACCATTCTTGTATCTGACCAGTTTTAGAAGCGCTACTGAGAGTATAGCAAAAAAATGTCAGTTTACTTATTATCAGTATAAGGTTGTTGAGATTGTTCAGTTTTAATTGAGACCAAAAACCGATCATTGTTAGACCACCATTGAAAACCTAGAAGCACTGGACGGTCGTTTCGTCCAAGAATGGGATTCCTTGTAAGTCTGATTAGTATATACTGATGTAGGTCATTTTGGAAACAAAACCATCAGTTTACATTATCATGACAGTAGCAGCTCTATAAGTTGGTAAAACTTGATCGCGTTGAAGTAAAGGTGTTCGATTATTCACAACATATACGTAAGTCGTCCTAAGCTCACATATTGTATACGTATAGATCATGTTTTTAAGTGTATTTGTTATTTTATAGCTGATTAGACATATTTCTGTTACCACAATTACCCTATCAATCATTATCCATTAAAAAATTTTATACATAGTAGAATCTTCTAGTTAAATGAGATGATAGCCTAAACAAGACGAAGCATCAGTCTATCACTTCAAGGAGGGGAAAACTCTCATTGGTGAAACGATCTTAATTATTTTAAGGTAATGTTCAACATATCAGTGTGCACGAGCATAAATATGTTGCCAAATATTTTTATTCCGTTTGTACAGCTCGTATTTTCGTTGAAGTATCTGAGTGCACAAATCCCTTCACTTACCTTAGACGTCTCAGGTCTGGTCTGACGAAATCTGGGCCCGGTAGGCGTTTGACAACTTGTATCACTTGTGACATAGGCAAGATATCTGTCTGTCAAGCAAAGGACTTTTATACAGTTCATCAGTTCCCTCTTTTCTACTTTATGGGTGTGAAACATGGCCTTTGCTAGTATTTGATCTTAGGTCCCTTAAAAGCATTACTCATGTATGGCGAGATGACAGAGAAAGTACTGTTGGGGTTAGACATAGGACACTTTGCAACTCAGACCAACGCACATATCTGTGCCCAGACCCCATGTGATTGATATTTGTCTCTGTTGCATTACTGTAACTTCAAATTACTTTGCTAGGGGTTTTTACATTTTTCTTCAGATATACAGAAGACTCAGAAGCAGAACGATTTCGTACTTTGTTTGGTGATGGTCGTATTCGTATTTTGTTAATAACTGAGCGTTATCACTTCTTTCGAAGGTGAGTACTTACTATTCCTATTATGGCTCGCCAATATTGATTTTACTGTTCGTTTCTACCATCACTTGATATGTTTTTTCTTTGTACTGTTGTGTTGTATTTCAGTTTAAACTGTACATTAACTGCTTGTGAGGGCCTTTAGATTGTAAAGTTAAAACACTAACTTGAATAACGAAATATGCCTAGTGGTATATCTTAACTTAGTTGAGTACGATAATTCAATACCATCTCAATCGATTGTGAATAACGTATACGCCTCTCGAAAATCGAGCATTTTTAGTTAAAATTCAAAAAGATCGTATTTATATAATTAAGAAATGGCTTAAAATAGGTTAAACTAATTTATTTTTCAAAAGTTAATACTAAACCTTGATTTAGAGCGTCTTACTTTCCCTTCTCTATTAACTTACAGTTGGTTTTCATTTCTTCAAATACTTCGCATTGAGGTGAGCGAATATATGCTAGGTAGTCGGAGTGAAGAGTGGTGTCAGTTGTCCATGATTGTAATCCATGATGTCCTCATACCTTCACTGAGTCACAAATTCTCACTCTTCGTTGCTTTGATCACTGGTCCTAATATCTATTTTCTATAGAACGAGTATTATTTATTGAGATGGTTTTTTGTTCCCATAGTATTCTACATAAAAATGTAGTCCATACTTGTAAATCACAAATATAATGTTACGATACCGTAATACGTACATACATTCTGAAAAGCCTACTTCATACAAATGGAGCCTACTGTTATCCAAATATATTGCTATCAATTCGATAGAAAACCCCCGATTATTCTGGAGCGCATGTCTGGACTGACTGTATTCCGGTACCAGGATGCGTTTGTTTACTTCTTACTCAACGCAAAAGGACCACAACCAAAAAACTATTTAAAGTTCGACTTAACGACAACAATGTCAAGAGTATATCTCGGGAACAAATAGAAGAGTGGTTGGTTAATCGTTATAGGGGTGATCGACACGGTATAGGTTGGAATGATATTCAAACAACTATGAAAACAGCAGTGGTATTTACCAATGGCTATAACCAAAGGGTTAAGAATGATCAGGGGATTTCAGTAGCATTTACTAAACTGATAAATGCTCAAAAAATTATACTGTCAGGCTTCAAATACACCGAAGAGCAAAGGCAACCTAAAAATAGACTGACAAATGTCTGTTCAGTGATTGTGGGCAGTGGTGTGTAGCTAAGTTAAAAGAGATGGAAAAGGAGGCGGCTATAAACAACAGTAGATAACGTTTTGGATTTATTGAAGAAATAGCTCATGAATATTTGGTAAGGAGTAAGACTATTTCTGGAAAAGATGGGGTAATAATCCACTCAATCTAGGAGATTGCACCGATGAACAGAACACTAACATCTTTCCAGCTACCCTTCATTTGCTTAAGATTGTCATGTAACATGAATTGGATGCCAATATAAATCCCCCCTCTTGAAGAAGTAGAAGAGCGAACTCGACAAAACTGGTTTAAGATTTATATGCGGATGTGTGGATAAAGTATTCTCACCTCTCCAGGCTTTGGAGCATAGACATACATACTGACTCTCAATCATAGTTGTATTTCTCGGCCTAACGGCAACAATTGATTCTGTGGATCGATAGGCTTTATGGCAGTGTCTTTCATTGAAAGACATACCAAACAAGTACATGTTCTCTACTCAAGCATTATTGTTCGAGTTAGAGCTTATGACGAACTGTCGTCGTTGATAACTTTAAGTGGTGTTCGTTAAGGTTGTCGGATCTCCCCATTTCTATTTAATTTTGTCATAGACATGGTTTTAAAGATAATACTGGTTGCTATCTTATCAGGAGTTGATCTACCAGGAGACTCTCTTTCTAACTTAGAATACGCAGATGGTATAATTCTGTTTGGTGAAGAAACTTTAAACAACACTGCTGTTATATTTGGGATGCGTCTCTGCATTTAAATGTAAATATTACTTTAGGACTAGTTTGTAACAGCAGCTGAACTTATGGTACGGAGTGAAGTAGTTAAGTGTGTCGATCACGTCATTTATTTCGGAAATCTCAACCCTGATGGATTGGTGTCTGTTGAAATCTCAGCACGGATTCAGAAAAGTGTCTTGTGTGGCACATATGTATTCGGTGCCCCTTTGTACCAATACTTATAACTGTAGAGCCTGATGATGAAGTTATTGAAAACAATTGTTCGCTCAAATATTCTTAATTTTTGAATATTCTATGGGGATTTTTAAACTGCCAATATTTATGTGTTCAAATAAATAAAGAAATGTGAGATTCACTCTAAGAATTTTATCTTGCTGTGCTAATAGGGTATGGCAACTTGGACCGATGTACTCATGTGCTAGATTCTATGATGCATTTAGCCGACTGATTATCCAACTATATTGATTTTTATTTTTGAGTACTTATTTTTGCTTATCTTGATGGTATAAACCAAAGTCCTTTGATTGAAGGTTGATAGTAAATCAAGACTTTTTTTTTTACTAATAATGTATTATCTGAATGGAACTCTGCGGTTTCCTGAAAAGTCAGACAACAATTCATAATAACCGGAGGTTGCTCAACGAGAATACATGTTTACCCATATGATAAATAATTGTTACATGATCTAGCCAACAACAATGTGCAACAGCCAACTGATGTCATGGAACAAAAGGAAATATCCATATCAAAGGATTTAATCTTACTAATTGTCTTTCTTTTTCTTTTCATTCTTTTAGCAAAAATAACTATAAACAGAGTGGAGATGACATAAACGCTAAATTTCTTAGACCAATAAGCAAATGTTCTTCAACTTTGTTATTTATAATCAAAAATAATTTGGGTTTGTTAGGTGATCTACTTTTGTCTAGAAAGTAATAAATCTCAGTTACATTTCGAAGTCCTAATTAAATAATTAAGGGAAAAAAAGCCACAATGTAGTTACAAAGCCATTAAAGGCTTTTCTCAATTTCTTTTAATTCATTAATGTAAATTGGAATCTTGAGCGTCTATTTTGTTAGATAATAAAAATGAGTTCTTCTAATTGTTTTATTATTTATTCTATGAATACAGGCGAAAAATTCGTGGACCTCAAACATTTATTTTTTATGGTCCACCAACATTTCCATGGTTTGTCAAAGAATTATACGATTTCCGACATTCAGAAAACGAAATACAATACAATATGACTATACTCTATTGTCATCCAATAGAAACTCATATTGTATCTATGATAACTGGTTCAGTAGAATTTTAATAAATAATGATACTTTCATGTGTAAATTGTTTGTTTTACTTCAGTACATTTAACCATAAGTAAACTGATTTTATTCGTTTTGATGAATCTATTTTTATAAGTTCATGAGTGTGTAAAGTATATTGTTTCAGAATAAAAGATCGTTTTACTGTTTGCTTTTAAGCTATCTATATACCTTGAGGCGGAGATATTGTTATATCTAATGAGATTTATTTCTTTCCAGCTTATAAGTAACACATTTCCACAATCCAACTATAGTTTACAACCTATTGTAAGGAAGTAAATCTTCTTCATAATGTACAATATTTTTCTTCTAAAGTATGTAAATCTGTTGTAGATTTAAATGGAAAACGCATTCAACTGTCAATGAGTCAAGTGGCATTCTTCTTTCAATCATCAATATTGAATTTCATAGATTTTTATTATTAGCTTTTGTCTTTGGTAGTATGTATACTTATAAACAATCAAGACTCATCCCGCTTCAATGGTTATTTCTCTCGGAGAAAGATGTTGGGAATTTGTAGTCATATATCATTTTTGTTAAACATACATATAATGAATGATGATGAATCGTAGACCGCGTGTCATAATTTCGAACCCTAATGAAGTGCACACTGACAGGAAAATTTTGTACTAGAACGAGACATGTCCAGCACACTTTAGTGCCTTTTAATAATACCCCGATTGAGCTCAATATGTGACGAATATAACTTACAAATGATGAAATGTTACTTTGCTTCATTAGTTGTTATTGCCTGTTGCATATGTATAAACATAAGTCCAAAATATTTTATATGGCAATGTATTTACAAATTGATCTTTTTTATTGTAAACTACCAAAACTGATTTGGTAATTTACTCATTTTACATGAAAGAAAAAAAAACAACACAAATTTAGCATCAGCTGAATTACTACACTTTTTAACCCCATTTTGAATGAAAGTATCAGTTTGTTGTAGTAAATGGTTACATTTAGTGTATTTTAATCTATCACATCATAAGTAGATAGTGACCAAACCTATTTGTAATTAACATTTTACGAACAGACGTGCCCAGTAATGTACGTATCTAACTGAAATCCATGGAATCTGCCCAAATAATCACTTGTAATCAAAAATGGTGCATGTACTGCAAATACTTTATGTGTTAAAAGAATAGTTGTTTCGTTTTAAAAGATAATGAAAAAATGTTATATTAGAAAACAGAATATCTCAAATTGTGTGTGTGTGTGTATACAAAAAAGAGTCCTAGTAAACAGTTCAAGTTATCACAGTATTACAGATCAATGGAATAGATAGATATGTATCATAATATTTCTTTATGTTTTGCACAATAAACAATCATTAATCATAAGTAATAAGTAAAAGATTTAAAAATCATGAATTTAGAAATAAGTTCGAAATCAGATAGAAATTTCTTCCTTTTACATCATATAAGAAGTAAGATTTCTAAAATTGACAAGGTCAATAATGAACACTGGAATATAATGCACTTAAAAAAGGTATTTATATCAATAGAACTAAAGGAAAAAAAATACTAGGCTTAAATGATGAATTTCAGTTATTTAAATATTTCATATCTGTTGTCCAATAACACAATCCACCCTTATGTCTTGATTAACCTTTTTAACACTGCCAATTCGATGCATTGTACATTCGAAACGTCCAATTGGTTGACAATTAGATTCTTTACAAACTTTCATAAAATTATTATATTCTAGTGATTTGAAACGCCAAGGTATTGAAAACGGTGTTAAATGAGTGACATACTGTGATATAAGAAAATATGAAGAGAAAAAGTTCTCATTAGATTAGTTAATTTGGTCAGTAAATAATGGATACAGTATAGAGGGATTTGTGGAGATTGTAGAATTTCCATAGTCTAAATCACGTACTGTTTTTAACTAGGTCACTATTGAAAACAAGGAAGCACTGGATAGTTGTTTCTTTTTAGTGTGGGACTCCTCAGCAATTCGCATCCACGACCCCCCGCCCCACAGTTAGCCGAACTTGGGACTTTCGTTTTTATGCGAGAAACATTAACCCCCAAGTTCACTGATCCGGCATCCAGTGGCATGTCTAACTCCAACCATTCCAATCTATTACGTGGATATCTCCCATTATCTGCGATGGATCACTGTCTGACACCTAAAATGATTGAGCTCTATTGGTCATAGATTCCTACTAGAACCGTAATTGCGATTTGAAACTAGTCACAAGTGCATACATAGTTATGTGGAGACTGTAGGTTTTTCATAGTTTAAATCATAAATTGATCTTAGATCAATAATAAAAATCAGATTCCTTAAATAAATGATTAGTGTGACAGTATAGAACAAAGATTTATATGAAGATCTACTTCTACATAAATATGAATCAGCATTCACCAAAATAACAAACCTAAAATATACAGTATAGTAAGACTACTTTTAGTTTATTTCTACAACCTATTTTTCCAGGTCACGAGAAAAGCCTATTATAGTTTTTACTAACTAATTACTGTAATTTAGACAATTGATCCACTTTCTATAACTGTGTTTTTGAGTTTGATTGAACATATGTCTACACTTTAATATTTATCTATCCTCTCGTTGGTTGTAAACACAGATAATCAGTGATAACTTTACCCACTTATTGATCATCACTCGGAAAATACACATACATTCACTTCTTCAGACTCATTCCCTTTCTGATGGTGCTTGCTCATAGGGTATTTGTCGAATTTACCAAATAATAACAACACAAACTTTCTCAATAATTAATGTTCTGGGTTCTACATATTCTTGAGTAAATATTCATAGGAATATTAAAAGAATTGGCTCAAGCTAACAAAAAATACCCAGTTAACGTGACATCATCCATATATTCGATTCATATTGAAGAATTAAACTGAACAAGAGGAATTATTGTTTTTTACCGATATAGATTACGTACAACAATATTTCATGATTCTATAAGAGTGATTAACATTGCAAATAAAACAATTAAGACTATTATGTGCACAGTATGCACATATGCCAATAAGAGACTGATCAATTACAGTCCTAATCATCAATGGGAAGATTCAAGTGAACAATACCAAGTGCATTTCAACTTCACCTCATTGCACAAGCAAGCGGCTATCAAGACTCAGTACCTAAGTGGATAAGGAGATAGCGTTTGGAGCGAATGGTACTGGGTTTGAGTCCCGGAGTGAACATCAACTCTGAGATGTAGGTACGTGCAACTGACGAGTCCCAGACAGGACGAAACGTGCGTCCTGGATTCCACTTCTATCCACTATCGATCTTTGCTTATAATTAAAACTTTTAATTTTAACATTTACAGTTTGTTGTTTAAACTAATCATCACTCTATGATGAAACTGTACAAACAAAAAATTCAAATGAATATAACAGCTGGTTTTTAACGTATAATTTATTAATGATTTTATAGGAATAATCATTGTTTAGGTATTTTGTTTAAGAGAATAATTATTTCAGTTTCTTGGATAATCTTTTTAACAATCAAAGCGTTAAGAGGCAAACTATAAAATTTCACTATTTTGATATTTTACTGAAACGATAATTAGATGACTATCTACAATCATCAAACTTATTGCTCAAGGGGTGAGGGAAGTACTTTTCAAAATTTATTTAGTATATCATTCTCTAATCTTAACCAAAGAAGAAACAATCTAGCATTCACAGTTGAAAATAATTTTAGCGATTAAAAATTTGAACATATCTTCTGGATATGTGCAATTTCGAAGCTTTTCTATAGGGAGCTCAGCATTCCCATGTCTTGAAGATGTATAACATGGATATTGTGAAAAAGTTTCGACCAATAAATATCATTAATAAAGTGTGTGGTTATCTGAAATATTCAGATGTGGATGATGACCACAGCTGACACCATAAGGTAACACTGAGTTAGAGATATTTGGAGAATTAAAAAAAAAACAATAACAATACAGTGACAAGGATAAACATACAGCCTTAGTGATTCTATTGTCCAGAAGGTCACCACTTAAAGATTCAATGGTTCCATTGACAGTATCGTATAGTTTGTCCTCGGAACCTGTTTCTAGGGCATCATTTTTAGTAAAATCCCCAGCATTTTGATGATTATCTTCCACCGAGATATAGCTTCGTGATTTCAATTGACGATTATAAGGTTGATGCTGACCATTTGTAAAGGAACTACTTAATGCTAGACGTCTGGATAAGTAAAGTTTCGAAGCACAAATATAGAACCGCATGTTAGACAATTCAAATGTTATTGGGTCTTTGCAAATTAGGTTTTGACTGCAGTATGCTTCCGGTGTTATAGTTGAATCTGGGTCAGTGTCCACACAAGTAATGTTTAGACTGAAGATAACGCTAAAGTTAAAGTATGGACAAGAATGAACAACATGAAAAAGTAATAATTTTAGTCAGGAAGTATATAGTGAAATGTACATTCCTAAAAACAATAGACACAAATGAAAGAGCGTCTTGTTGACTATCATCTTAGGTCATAGCAGAATAATGAGCTGAAAAATTTAGGAAACGCACGTAACAGGAGAAAAACCGATCAAGCGTTTGCGTTGGTAAATATATTCAATATGTTTATCAATTGAATTAGAACTATTCGGTACAGCTTACTTACATACGTCTGTTACCCCTCGTGAAGCATAGGCCACTGAACAGTAATTCTCAACCAACTCCATCCTGAACTTCCTTTTCCAGTCATTCTCAAGTGCTATTCATTTTTTTTTAATGTCTGCCTCCAATTCGCGACGCACTGTACTCTTTCTGTCTACCTCTTTTCGTTTCGCTTTGATGATTCCAAGGTAGGGCTTACCTTGTTATACAGTTTGTTGGTTTTCGTAAAATTTGACCTATCCACTTCTAGTGTCTTTTCCCAATTTCCATTTCAACTGGAAGTTGCTTTGATCTCTGCCACAGTAGGTTATTGCTGCTGGTGCCTGTCCAATGGATCCGCAGTATCTTGCGTAGAAAACGACTTATGAATACATGTACATCTTTGATGATGGTTGTAGTAGTTCTCTTAGTTTCGACTCAGTACAATAGAGCTGTCTCGATATTTGTATTGAAAATTCTAACTTTGGTGTTGTCTAACAGTTATTTTGAGTTCCATATGTTCTTTAATTGCAGGAATGTTTACTTTGCTTTGTCAAATAGTCCCTTTGCAAATGCATTGGTGCATCAAATTGTTAATATTCTCTGGTTAAATATCATGATAAGTTTTTTGATGTCATAACTTATTAAGTAATAGTTCCTGAAATCTTTTCAGATGGTTTCACTTTAATATAGAATATCCAGAAACACTAATCCACTCTAACCATAATTCAGGACTGTGGATGGTTTATCGCGTAGCACGTAATATGTACGAGAACTAGTCCATTGATACACATATTTAGGGTCAGATAAATGCCACACATTAAAAGCAGTACACATCCTTTAAATACTATTGTATTATTTTATAATCTCCACAAATTAAATTTAATAACGCTTCACAGTTATTTCTAAATATCATTTTTCCCAAAGAGAATGTAACAGTGAAAATCTTTTCACCATGTACAACACTTATCTAAACTAGTATGTAACAAAATGTGACTGTCGTCAACTTATTCTCTGTTTATACTTGAAAATCTGTTTGTCGAAAAGAGAAAATACTGGCTTGAGCATATGAAAATTATTGAGGGTTGTAGAATGCATTGTAGTCTCTAGGATATCAGAATGAACTGCAGATGATGTAAACGCTTAGAAATTCATTCATCTGAATCTTAACTACTTTGTCACAAGTTTAAATACGGTTGTTTCGGCCTAGTTCACTTAGGAACATCAATAAAGCGACTTGGGTTTTCGTAAATCCTTGGATTTGTATGAATTTTCTGAGCTGCCTGACTTTTATTTATGACTTACCAAGTGATTTAAATATTAAATATTTGTAGTAGTGAAAATTGACTGATGAAGTATGGGTTTGTCATTATTGATAGACGTTCTAAACCGTGAGATCTTGATGAATAAGCACATGGCCCAAGTTGGTAACATCCAGGTTGGCTTTTCATAATCGTACAGCTTATAGTCAGTCTGAGGGATTAAAAACGATGAGCTCTGAAGCAACATTCTGCAGTTAAAGCAGGATTAATGAATCTCGAGAATTCGTGCATTGTTACTTAATTTGTTAACAACACTGCATTGTCTTCGTATTTCAGGTATATTATCGAATCTCTACTGGTATGTCATTCCCTAAAAAATGAGACATTTTCTGGGAGCGTATCTATAACGTGATCAGTACAGATGGTATACCGTAACCTTCGACTCAATCAACAATAATTTGAGTAAATAACCTTCAAGTAGGCGTATGTGCTGTTCTTCACATACTGTCCAACAATAATCAAAATTTTCTTGATGTACCATTCAGTACAAAAAAAGCAACAAAATTTAGAGTACATTCATTTCTGAGGTATATATCATTCCCGACACTTCAAGAAGTAATGTTTGTTAACAATAAATAGCAACTAAGAAAGTGTACAAATTTCTTTTATGCAATAAATATATAACTAGTAAGCATATTATTGTTCACTTACTATGTTTTAGGTAAAGGGAATATATTCAAATTGAATCCAAGCGGTTTGATAATATCTACTGGTAGAATACAATAATGTCCACTAGGCATTGAAAGTGCAAACTAAAACAAAAAAGTCCTTTATTGATTATAATGAACATTCATTTGTTTACACTGAAATTCATTATTTTAACTATTGAGTACAAAAACAGTATAAACCGAGTATAATTACAAAGAAATTGCAAGTAATTTGAATAAATAATGTAACTTATTGTAGGAGGGGCTTGTGATACATATCAGATTCTCAAATTGAATCACTGGGTTTTCCTAGGAAATAACCAAGTCACAAAACAAAAGACCAACAAGAATAGATTCAATCCCTACGTATCTTGAAACCGATGTGTTGAGAATCAAGAAGAAAGATATATCATCTACCTTGATTCTTTAGTTTTTGTCGAAAGAATCCTGTCGCGTTAAGCGAGTGGAAAAGCACTTCTCTTAAAGAGGCTATCAATTCATGGTCGTATAAGGACGTTTAAAGAGAAATGCACGGCTTTTCCCTATTATCGGATGGATAAGTGCTTGATAATGACGACTCTCGCGTCACATGTGCATAGTCTGTCAGACAAATTTAGTAAATTTTATTCTACTGATTTTCTTGGTCCAATCAGTAAAAAAGATGTAAAATGTATGGAAGACATGAAGCATAAAGTTTGATTACGAAAGATCTGCATATTCAAATCTGGTTTTAGAGAACAAGAGTTATCACTGAAAAACGAAGAGGAATGTACTGTTTGATAATGGTCAGGTACTCATTTATACGATAACTTGACTATAAGCTATTAAGATGATGCATAAGTTTATTTCACAAGTCTTCAAGGGTAATTTCAATGGTCTAAATTCTCTAGAATTATAGATTTAAACGTTTTCATATCAAACAAACAATAGGGCAAGGTATGAATAACTAATTATTTTCAGAATCAATATACTGATGACAAGGTTCAATGTAAATGAAAATAAAAAGCATCATTACAATGAAAAAATAATCAATTTACTTAATGAAATACATATATATGTACTTACTTGATCATTGCAAGATGTAGCCGATAGATATAATGGTCTACTTAATTGTAAACAACAACCAGGTGGAAATGTTGGCATAGGATGATTCATTTTACATTTTAAACTATGGGGTAATGGATTATATTCTCGTATAAAATCAACTGGACCATCTTCTAAAATAAATTGACTGAATAAAGTTTGATGCTTTTTATGCAACTGTTCATCTTGATGATTTTCTAATGAATCAGAAATTAATGAATAATCATTTGCACTATATTGACTATGTATTTCATAACCACTATCAACAGTGGTACTGGATTGATTATTGAAATTTGTTTCATTTCCATCATTACCATTAATGTTATTATAAGTTTTGATGAAATTTGTTTCCGATTTAGTTTTGAATACAAAATTTTTATTATTTGAACGAATACGATATAGACTTGTGCTTAACTTACAGTCTTCTGATAAACCCAGTTTGCCCAATCTTAATTGAACTGGAATTGGTTGACATGTACCGAACACAACTATGGATAATAATTAAAGTACACAAGAGTATACTTTAAACTAAGAGATTAAAAATAAGTTTAAAAATGATCCATAGGGTAGATAATTAATATTTTAAGTATCGGGATGTTGAATATCTAAATGAAAGTAGTTCAAACAATGCAACAAGTAAATTGACCTAGGCATACTACTGAAAAGTTTCACATCAAAAAAGTGAAACATCTTTCACATGTGTCAATAATTCTGGCTTATGAGAGAAGACAAACATATCATCCGGGGGCACTAAACATACGAGACTATTTCATACATAAAACCGATTTCAGTCTCGTTTCACTTGTTGATTACTTTGAACTAGTCTGCTAATAAATTCATCTCCAGACTTAATCTGGTTCTAGATCGTGGTTGGATAAATGAATCGAGTGGCTGAATTGATCGAGTATTGTTTCTTGTTAAGCCAATTAATCTAGTTCCCAGTCCCATTGATATTATTGAGTATCTAGTGTCCAGGATAAAACCGACAAAACCTGTTTACTTTATCGTAATAGTTGATTAAACAGATATGTAGCTGGAATATATAAATAATGTCCAACTGCTAATAATATTTCCTAGTGGTCTATTTTGTTGGTTTCTTAAACTTCTGTACCTGATATGTATGAAGATAATACCTTACAGTTGTCACACACTAGTACAATCAGCAGTATAACTTCACCCGATAACTTTAAGTCGCTTCTTTTAGTCTGACAACTAGCTATCCAATCAACCTATCTGGAATGATTGGATCTACTAAACAAACAAATACTCTAACCCACATAGATAAATTGGGTGACCAATATAAACAGATTCAACCAACGTGGCAAGGTAACAGAACAAAAATATTCAGTCGTCCCTAATTTTAGGAAGTTATTTATGCATGAAAAACAGACTAAATGATTAATTATACGATTATAAGGTAACGATGACGTGAATTTGACTTCTCATTGAAATGATTCAGGTGTAGTACCCATTACAAAAATATATTTTTTAACATGAATTTAGTAAAGTAGCTTAAGGAATGTACAAGAAAAATGAATCATGTCAAGTCAGTGATTTGAGCTGTGTAGTAAAAAGCAAAGCCGCCAATTATATTACTCATAAGAAAAAGTTGGTTGTTAGAAATCTTCAAGTAATAACTATACCATTGCTGGTCGTAATGACACTAATAGATATTGAACATCTTGTTTTATAACTGCTTATTCGGATCACGTTATTCACCATAAGCTACACTATATGCCATGGTGAATGACAAGCGGCTTCATTATGAAAACTTTAACTGTATTCAGTAGTATCTGCGAAAACACAAAGTAATGAAACACGTAGATATTGAATGAAAATGAAGAAATTTTGAAAGATACATAAGACCACTACTCATTATTTTTATTCACTAAATTACCTGGATAGCGTTTACCACTCGAGTTATTTGATACTGAAATCTCTGGTTTCGGTAACAATGCTTTCATCATTGCAATATCACGCCAACTAGATCCAAAAACATCACCATCTATATCTGATACGAAATTTACTTCAGAACAATTATTGATTGACGGTTGCACGGATTCTTGTTCTCTTAATGATTCTTTTAATTCGATATTGATTTCATCAAGACAACTAATGAATATTTTCTCAGGAATTAAAAATCCTGGTGCCTAAAGTTGTATGATATATATATATATATATGAAAGTATATGAAAAAACGATACGACAAATATTAACAATCTAACAAATATATAATGACGTTTCTATGATCTAACCTACTAAGCACTGCTATATTTTATTCTGATGTGCGTATATTTTAAGAAATATAAACCAAAGAATAAATTGTATTATTTATTCACTGTAAGCCACTTCAGAATATAAAAGACAAACGAAAACAAAAGCATAGATATATTGTGTTTAAAGTTCTAACATAATCTGTATATAAATTCTGACGACGTTTTCAGAAGTAGAATGATATATATATATATATATATATATATATATATATATATATATATATATATATATATATATATATATATATATATATAATTATTATCATAATTCTAACCTCAATCTATAAACTAGAGATAATAGCGATAAGATGAAATGATAGAAGTACTCAGGGATTCTTCATCTTAGGGCGGTATAGACTGTGAAGTTCTAATAATATAATTGTTATTTATCAGTAGTTAGTATTTATTTGTTTTCTTTGCATTTTATTGGTTAAATCAACCAAACTCTTCTCTTGTTGACTAACAAATATTTTGTTTGGGTTGCCATTTAGAACCTATCATTCTTTGGCTTGACTGCTTTGCAAATAAACTGTTGTAATTGTTTTTACCACATTGAATGTGAGTTTAACATAAGCTAATTATGATTTGTTGCGAAATAATCTGTTATATGTTTTACAAATAAATATCTGTAAGCATCAAAGATAGTTATTTGACTTAACCGACCAAGAGTGTGTTATCCAAGTGAATTTCTCAATGGCCATGTCAATCAACTTGGTACTTCCATCTAAAATCTTACACCTAACTCCCGTATTCACTATTCCATCGTATTCAAGAGAGATCTCGAGACTATTTATGATAGAATACTAGCAATCTACGTATATTGGGGTCGTCTAAATCACGTGTACTCAACCAATTAAAGTTTGACCGTTTATTCAGGAATTATATACTGATAATAAAAGAGTATATTGACACATAGTTGAAATAGGTGACGGATCAGATCATAATATATATGTGATGCATAATAGTATGTCTATTTAAACTCATTAGCCAGTCACGGCTTACTCTAATCGGACATACTAGTTTTTCTGTAATTTATAACTGATTTGTAACGCAGTCACTTGACAATGAATTCTCTCAAAGACAAAATACTATTTAAATGTAGTTTTGTTCTCTGAGCTGGACTAAACCAACCAGCTAAAAAAAACAAAATTCAATATAAAACATTCATCTAAGCTACAAATCCTCTCCATCATCACAAAATATTATTGATATAAATAGTTAAATGAATTAGAAAATAGAACAAATAGACTTACATTAGCTATAAATGACAATTTATTTAACCCAGGTTTTATCATTACAAAAGAATCTTCATGATTTAAAATAAAAAGTAGATTTTTAGTTGAAACAGGAGTAGATGATTCCCTATTTTCATTTCCAAACATATCATGTTTACCATTAATACTGAATGATAAACGTGATTGTTTTTTTGTTGAACAGAGTGAATATTGTCTTAAAATTTGTGCTGAACTATGAATATTTGGTTCTGAAATAGAAAATAAATAAAGTAATACATATAAGGGTTTGAATCTTTCTGTCGTTGATAATAAGGACTGAACTTGATCAATCTCTATTGCGATATATATTTACATCTTGAAATGATTGCCACCATATTGCCTTTTAGTTATAAATTTTAGTAAATTTGGATTGTAGCTACTAGTACAATTCAAGGAGTACTTCTCGCCCTATTCAAAACTCATCAGTTGAAGATACCTGAATACCCATGTTGGTATCCCTATTGGGACTCAGACTCAGTACCTTTTACTTCAAACGCCAACATGTTATTTACTGACCTATTTGAATTTATAAAGCCATTAATTTGTTTAATGAGTTTTAAGTCAAATGTAAGGATTCAGGTTTCCCTGTTATTGATATTAAGAATGAGTTTGAATAGGTTCAGACATGCATTCTGGATCGCATTTCTAACAACATTATAGCATCACTTTCGTAAAGCATAGATTTTGTAAGGAAGTAATGATCAAACGTAACATAGTTCATGTGGGTATTTTTTTTAAAAAGTTTCTGATGAATTTACAAGCGAAGGGATTTATAAGTTAGTTTCTAAGATAAAATGGAAGAGCTAAGCATAGATATGATAAGAATGTTTGATTTGCATGAGCTTATTATTCATCACATATATACATTTTTAATTTAATTTACCGATTATTCATTTATACACTATAATGATAAATCAATTTAGAACGAATTGGTGAGCGACCTATGCTCCTCCATGAAGGCTAACAGCCGCAAGTAAGTAAGTCAAGATAAAACATACAAGATTTCAAATAAACGATGTATACTTGTTTTATGAAATTATGGTTTTATTAATGAATGATAAATTTCAAAGTATATAGCACCATGATAAATAGTTAACAGTAGAATTAAGTTGAGAAGAAAAAGCAATTGACATATGAGTAATCGAATGGTTAGTAATCAAACTATGAAATTTTTTAAGTGTTTATCTAATTCATTTAAACTAATCTTTATGCATCAAGTTATTTACAATGAAGAGAGATGTTAATTAGAACGAATGAATTCATTCATTGTATTTAATTTAAACGTCTTTGAGTTTGTTGTGATTTTGGAAAAATGGAAACTTGAACTAGTCTATTTCTATGTCGATTAGAATGAGACAAATACAATTTGTATTTTTATATTCATTTAATTGTAAGTTTTCATTTGACTCGTTAACTGTTATTATATCTTTTACTGTCTCGAAATTATTGTAAATTAATTAGAAGCCTGATTTCCAACTTTCCTAGATGAATTCTTCGTACCCATTAAAAACCAGTTTAAGCACCAAACATTCGCTTCTAATCCTCTAAATTTCGTAAACACCACAGTTGTGAGAAGGCAGTGAATAGGATTTATCTGGAAATGAACATATAAGTATGGCTATATAAAAGCAGTTCGAGATGAAGAGTGAACTCTCCCCATTTTCAGCCATACCAGAGTATTCAGGGGCTTTATTCAGATTAGTAAACATTGTAGTCTACTACATATGGTGCTTTATGGTACTTTAATTCATTTACATAATTGTTTTTGGATTAGGATAAAAAAAATAGTTACATCGGCTGTATTATTTTTTTGTTCTGATTAGCATTTAGGAATATGGATTTTGAGTGAACCAACAAGGGTTAGCATATCAGATAACTTATTCAAGACATAGATACTCTTGGTTCAATTACAGAGGACTAAGGTCATACTAATATTATGCACCAAAATATCTGAATCAAATATTTCTTATTACATCAACAAATAATAGGGAACACTTAAGCAATGTTTAATCGTGTGAATCGAATGACTAATTTTTAATTTATCATTTCAAAATTAAATATTTGATTGAAAACGTTGATGAAAACGAATAAGGAACTTTCACACAACTGGAGAAGGATTACATACTCATTAACTAAACAGGTTAAATTAAATATTGTTAGGATCTGACACTAAGGATGTAAATGCACGATTATTCACGGTAAAGAAATAGTTTTAGGATTAACACAACAACAACAAAAACACAACAGTAGTGGATAAGTCACTAGATTTGATGAATACAGACCGAGATTCTTAAATAACTATGACCATTAATGATGCAAACAGTTAGCCTATGAGGTTTAAAAATAGTAATCCTATAAATCAAAAAGAAAGAAAAAATAGAGTGATTGTATGTAGATAAACTTAACACATGAAAAGGTGAAGAAAAAAAAACTAGTTAAAAGATGAATTACAGTAAACGAATAAAAATGAATTTTAAGTTATAAATCATGAATATGCTCAATCTAATAATAAAGGCGGCCTGTTTGAATACCTGGACTACATGTTCCTGCCTTTTGTTTGTTTCACAGATCATTATATCAATTAATTTCATAACCTATTCAGGTGCGTTTATGAAAATTTTGCGACCTTTGGTTGTACAAGATACAAAAAAAGCCTAATCAAACATCATGGTTGCTAGCATTATGTATTGAAAGGAATGAACATTATTCAAATATCGATTGCTTGACTGTTAATATCTAACTGGCGATCACTTAATACTGATCATCACGATCGATCAAGAAACAAGAATTCTATAATGTACCAAAAACATAATATTGAATAAAGCCACTGATAATAATATCACTATTATATATAGTTTTACAAGAATATCTGTTTTAACACATGATAATTGCTAAATATACGCGAAAAATATTATTGAGGATCTCATATATTCTACCAATTATACGACTAATATCAGTTAGCTATTAAGAGATTATTTGAGCTTAGTCTTTGCTGAAATCATTTGTTTTTTTAAGAAATGGATAATGGTATATCTCAGTCACTAACAACGGAGAACTTCGTACGTACGTACGTACGTACATCAGTTCGAGTTGCCATACCACATTATGGTATATCTAAAATTTGAAGAATACGATTCATGAATTAATTTGCCTGTGAAACTAAAAGAATCGGTAGCTGGAATGGTAAAACAGAGAAAGTTTATATGGACTTCATAATTATGATTACACGGAATGATGCATGAAATTACAATGGAAAATAGTTATCATATCATTGTAACTCTTGATATTAAACGACTGTTGAATAAATAAATTTAATTATTCACGATCGCAAGATATTTCCCTTACAGAAATTCTTTTCTAATGATGGATTTTGGGGTCAAACAGCCTAAAATTACGAATGATATTCAAAGATCTAACGGTATTCTTGTTTCATTAAAATTATGAACTGAACGAGGTTAGACAACCATTTAAAACCGTTACAACCGTTTTTTTTCCTAGTATGCGACTCCTTAGCAGTGTGCATGCGTGATCCGAATCCGGGACTGAGCGATCTCGACAACCCCATACTGAAAAGTATTCCACCTATTCGTTGTTGGTGTTTCCAGTATCACACAAGGTGCGACAAAGAAGTTAATTCGGCCAAACAAAGTAAGCAGTAACCGGTAGTCAGCTCTAATTGATCGGTATGATATTTATGGCTGTGTAAGGTACTTTACATCAAACAAATTTACAATCCATACAAAGAAGCTGAAATATCTAATCGTACTACATGAATTTTATGAAATGCGAGAAGAAATGACTCTTGCAACGAAACGATCATTTTCATTCTAGATCGTGTATGTAATAATCATAAAGCAAAGGTAGCATTCCTACAACTGAAGAACATATAGAACTCAAAACAACTGCTCAACAACACTTAAGTCAGAATTTCCAGTACAAACATCAAGACAATTCAATTGTACTGGGCTGAAACTAAGAGAACTACTACTGTGGTGTGTGCTACTGACGTTGACAGATATAAGTAGTATGTATCATCAATCGAGAGTGAAATGCCTGGCGGTAGATCAAAGAAAAGCGAACGAGAGAAGAGAATAATTAGTATGGAAACGAAGGAACACTAAGGTCTGAGACAACTGATCGACATATTGCAAATGAAGTGTTTACTGCACGGTTCTCAGATTTGACTAAGACATTCTGAAATTTTGCATTAAAATACATTCGGTTATCCCCATATATGTTCTAGTTCACAACACTACAACCAACATCAAAAAAGTACAGGTATTCATAAATCGTTGGCTACGTAAGGCACTCCGGATCGGTTGGACAGGCACCATCATCAACAGACTACTATAGCAGAGAACAACGCAACTACCAGTTAAAGTGGAAATTGGGAAAAGACGCTAGAAGTAGATAGATCAGATTTTACGAAAATTAACAAACTGTATCACAAGGCAAATCCTACCTTGGAATCGTCAAGGCAAAACGAAAAGAGGTAGACCAAAAGAGACACTTCATCATGAATTGGAAGTAAACACCGAAAGAATGAAGTTATATTTGTCATGTAAGTATAGGTTAATACATCAAAATTTGTTTATTTGTTTCCAAGAAGTCATAGATTTAAATGATGAAGATACACTGCAGAAAAATTATATTTTCATAAGATAAACTTGTAGTAAAACAAATGTGTTCGCTCTAATCATGTTTTGATTGGACCACTATAAATTATGTTATTTTATATATTTCTTTTCTTCCCTCTTACATTTTCGAAGGTTATTATTTCATTAAAATATTATTTTAAATAATAAAATAGTATAAATGTATGCTTATAATGCCTTCATAATTTTTATGCTTACCGATTAAACCATCAGAAGGAATCCGTGTAATTCTGCCGTTCTGTATTATATGTGGGGTAGAAATAGGAGTATTATTATGCTCATCACTCATAACGCCTATAGTATCTTGAGATTTCCATGCTGGTCTAGTGGCCAATGATGCAGCAACGTTCAACAATGAACCTAAACGTGACTGACTATTCATTTTACTAATTCTTAATTGATTTCCTTTAAGTGCTAAATTTTTATTCAGATATTCTTTAGAACTATCTGGTATACTGGAATAACTTCGACGAGTCGAGACAGTCATTTTGGTTGTTGGTAAATGATACTTATTGTATTGTCTTGAATTTTTTTCAGATGAAATAGAGAATTGACCACGTAAGATATGACTGCCAGTGCTAATATTATTACTATTATTACGATTATTATTATTATCACTACCAATAATTATCGGGTTATTCACATTACTACCTGCTAAACTTTTGACAACAGAGATACTAGGAGCAGTAGTCAAATTGATCAAATGTAGTTGACTATCTAACTGTGGTATCAATAATTGATTGGTTTTATCCATTACATGATAAGGTAGAAATTCATTTGGATTCAACAATGTTTGCCAGTCAATGTACGAAGGTTCTGATCCACTAATGTGTACTCTGTAGTCATGGAAAAAATTGTATAGTAATATAAGTTGTTTATATATAAAGTGTACAACTTTATAATGTATAAACAATTTATGATATAGTGAATAACTGAGAAACTGATTGAAAACTCTTGGAATATAATTAATTTGAACGGAGTTTACACGAACAGGAAACAGAAACCAATGGACACTCTTGAAATGGAGATTTGGAGATCAGGTGGCAGCTTCATGTAGTGTTGTATCATCTGAGAAAGTTGACTGAATTCCTGAGCCTCGATTGTCGTTCTGGACAAAATTATCAGTACTTACTTCATGTATCAACTTGAAGTTAGTCGGAGTAATGAATATATTGTTAATACACCCAAAAATCTGTGGCTTATCATTAAAGATTACGAATTAAATAGCATATCTGTCATATTATTCGTTGCTACTTATATTTAATTGGAACTAAATTTTCTGTTCTGTAATTCAATTACTTTCAATACAACTTATAAACCAATAAATTTCACAGATATTTTTCCAGACTCAATCAAAAGCTTTTTTAAGAGTAAAATCTACTGTCGTCATTTTGACGGTATATAATTTATATTCAACTCTGTTACATCTTTTTTGATGGTTCAAGTATTAAAAATATGGTTAGTTATGCTTAATACGAATGTCCATACGCTTTACAAGTAATCATTTGTAAAATACGACTACACAGGAGATTTAAGTACTAAGGTATGTGTATTAAGATTATTTTTGTAAAAATGAGGTGCTCCTATAAATATACAAGAAAATCTCTTTCATATCGATATGTCTGTCTACGAACCAGACTTTACCGAGAATTAAATTGTTCTGTCCTGCTTTATAGGTGTGAAGCATGGTCACTAATAATAGGAATTCATAGGTTATTAGTATTCATTTATTTATTTATTTTAACACATAGATATCGGTACAAGAAGGCACCAAATACATATGCGCCACACAGATCTCATTTGATATGTGTGAGGGCTGTGATACTGCTCGGGTGCCCAAACCGAAGCAGGTGGTTTTCTTAGGGGGCCACACCCCGAGCCTTTGACCTGAAGATCTGATCCACAAGGCAGTGGAGCACGGTAAGGAGATGCAGTCCCATGGTAGCCGGTGACCAACGATTGGTTCATACGCCATTTGTTCCCTCAGGCAGGATACTGGAGCCCATGTGCACCATTGGTTTGGGATCCGATTAAAGCGCCGGACATTCGCTTTTCGTCCTCTCATTTTCGTAAACAACACCCCGCCACGAGAAGGCAGTGAGTAGGACTTCCCTGGCAGGGGCTGTATACGCGTGGCCATGTGACAGCATTTCGAGGGGGAGAGCGGACTCTCCCCACTCTCGGCCATACCAGGGCATTTGGGGGCAAAACCTGGAAGCACTGGAAGGCCGTTTCGTCCTATTGTGGGACTCCTTTGCAGTGCGCATCCACGAACTCGCCCCCTGCGAGATTCGAACCCAGGACCTACTGGTTTAGCGCGCGAGCACTTAACCACTAGACCACTGAGCCTATTAGTATTCGATCATAAGCGTCATAGAAATATCGCTCGTGCATTTTAGGACCACCGAGTGAACAATGTTGGGGTAAGACGAAGAGTACTAGGTAAAAATTGGCGAATTATTTGGTGAAGTAGTAAATCTCCATCAAATGAGGTGGTTGAGACATATACTACACATACTCAAACATCGCATATTAAGACAGCAGTGTGGCAACATAAAAACAGAATAGGCCTTGATGAAATAGAGAAACTAACGCAAATTATAGCACTAAGGTTTCAGGTGTATTTACCATCTAAATGTTAAAGTTATCATACAACCTTTGACACGAAAATATGTTGAGTGAAATTTAGACTTAAGATAAAATGCTCAGCAGCCACAAGCTTCACACACAGCATATAGATTTAAATAAATTATCCCTGAATTCAATTTACCTTTCCCCAATACGCTAATACAAATATCTCTGCAGAAGATCTAAATTATGAATAGACAGGGGGAAAGTTAAACAGGACTTATCGGTTAATACGATGGTTTAAAAATTTTCAAAGAATACAGATCATTCGAATGGTGAGTAGTTAGAGATTATGAGGAAAATAGACTGTAACCTAAGCATTTCTTAGGTAAACTTTTAATAGCTGCTTTACGTAGTCAAAAATAGACAGCATTTTATGAATTGAACTAATTAAAGCTCAGCTGTTCTAGTGATGCGCAATGACAGGTTTGAAAAAATCCTATGATGAAAAAAGCGTAGTCTGTGCATATTTTCTATTCATATAGACCATTTTTCACATCTATCGAATAGTACAGAGTGGACTGGTGAGCAGTACATTTGCCCCTTGATCGTCAGATAGACATCTGAACTATGCTATAAGTGACACGAATTAGCAAAGGTCAACCCAGCTTTCTAAATCCGTACCGAAATTTCCATAAACACCAACTCTCAGAAATAGTAAGATGTGTTTTCTTAAGTGATTTCAGAAAAAAAGGAAAAATTAGTTATTCTAAAGAAAAAACTAAATATATAACATACGATGCTTTAAATGTTCTGTCTGAATTAGACTTTAATTGAATAAAAATCATTTGATAACCACAATTACAAACACCTTCCAATTCAACAGATTTTAAACGAAATAATGGTGACATTTGATAAGGATCCAAAACAATACATTGATGATATGCTAATAATGAATTACGAAATTCAATAGCTTCTTTCCACCAATAATTTGGATTAATTGAATCATTAAATGATGGTATTGATAAAATTTGTGTAAACTTTATTGTTTGATACCAAAATTGAATTTTATTATAGACATGAATAGCAGCTGTACGTAAAACAGTGTGTTTTGTACCGGCTAAGATGAAACAGGTTTGAATGTATCTATGTAAATTAGGAAAATCATTAAACTGCAAATGAATAAACATTATTTTTAATTTAATTATTTTGAAAAACTTTTTATTCATTTTAGAAAATCTTAACAATGAAATATTTTTTTAGTTAAATTAATTAATTAGTCTACTACAACCATCATCAACAAAGTACAAGTATTTATAAATAGTTGTCTACGCAAGATACTCAATGTCCGTTGGTCGGAAACCATCAGCAATAGCCTACTATGGGAGAGAACAACCAAGCTTCCGGATGAAGAGGAAATTAGGAAAAGACTATGGATGTGGATAGGATATACATTACGGAAATCACCAAACTGTATCTCGAAGCAAGCACTAACTTGGAATCTTGAAGGGAAACGAAAAAAAGGAAGGTCAAAGAGAACACACTATGTGGAGAATCTGAAGCAGATATGAAAAGGATGAATAATAAATAGAAACAACTGGAAAGGATTTTCCAGGATAGAGTTCGATAAAGAATACTGGTGGGCGGCCTATGCTCCTCCACGAGGGGTAACAGGAGTAAGTAAGTATGTATGTAATTAGTGCTTATTTCACAAAACACTAAAACAATGTTTTATAGTTTAAGAAAATGGCAATGACTGACACTAACTCATTAAGTCATAAATAAATATGACTGATTTCGTTTCCCAGTTTTATATTGTGTAAATGTTTTTGGACTATAATCATTTATTACTATTTGTAACATTTTATTTTATATCATGAAAAGTTTTTAGCTGTTTAACTGTCAAATCAGAGAATTATTCATTGTTTTAAATATATACGCTGTAGCTAAAAGAAAAAGATGAATATAAAGTCCGATGAACATGGATAAATTAATACGTATTAAATTAACTTATTCACTGGGTTACTTTGGTATGAACCACACTCTAAGTGTGAAAGCTAATGATACTATCCAATTGTCGAAATTAAAGTAGGTGTAGCGGGATTTGAGCCTAGGACTTAGTCGTCGAAAATTGAACACCTTAACCAATAAGCCAATGCTCAAGGCTGGTAGATTGAGAGAGTTAAAAAATAGTGCGTACCTGTACAAAAGCCAGGCATCGCACATACTGTCTCAAGGTTAAATGATAAGCGACAAATTATGAACGAGACTTGCCGGAGGAATTTAATTATCCACCTATTCAGCCAACATGGTATTATGTAATTATAATTTGTGTACATTATCATTCGGTCCTGACAATTAAGCTTCCTAACCATTTCTTAGTCTTTCCACTCTCATTGCTTTGTGGGTAAACGTATGGGAAGCGTGAGTTTTTTGTAACCGAATGAAACGTGACAGAATGTGACAATAACATAGAGCTAAATATACAAAACCCAACGTTAGTAACTAGAGTAAAAAAAATGAGATTTGTGGCGAACAACCCTATTATTACACTGTATATAAGAGCTTTTAAACCACTGTTTGATTTTTTGACATGTAATTTTCAATCTTCTTATTGAACAACAGAAATAGATTAATAGAGGAAACAGAGTGAAGGCATTTTTTTCTAATCAAGCGATAAACATGAACGCAGTTTATATCATCATTAGCAAGAGTTTGAATTCTCGCATTGTAGACATTCAGAACTGGATTTTGACCAGTCTTTTTGTTGGTATATCTGCATCCTCTAGGGTGAATGGCCTCATATTAGCCGTTTTGGTATAAATCCTATTTCGGAATAGACGAATTGTAGCTAACACTGCTAGGTGTACTAATACGGATATTAGTACTGGGATTTGACAGATACATCCAGCTGACGAGTCCCAAAAAGAACGAAACGCAAGTCGCGGATTTCACCACTAGAAACAATCTATCTGTTCTAAGGAAACACAAGTAAAGTCATTGAAGAACATATGATGATTTAGGTATATAAAAAGGAAAAAGAACTTCACATGTTCACTTACTTTCGAGCAATTTCATAATCATCTTTAGTTTCGAAATGCTTCTTGACACATAAGGAATGGAAGCACCATGCCAAGCATATACGTGTACTTGTTACTAAACCAATCCACGAAGATTCATCATAATGATTTATTAGTGACTCATATAACCATGAAGCTGATTCATGAGCTCCTTGTGAACTAAATGATCAGTAAAAATTTAGAAAATAAAGAATAAGATGAGATGCTGGCTAAGTGGTCTAGAGGTGAAGCGCTCGCTGCAAGACTAAAGGTGTTGGGTTTCATCGCCGGTGGGGGTGTGGATGAGCATTATCGAAGAGTCCAATACTTGGACGGAACAACGCATTTAGTGATTATCTGCTTTCAATGGTTGTCTAATAAAGATTAGTCTATGATGTAAGCTATGATAATAAGACTGGAGTAGGCAGTAAAAGAACCCTACAAAATAAAACTTACTGAGAGAAAAAACTAACTGAGCACCTAGATGCCAAAATATGGGTAAACAGTAGCGTTTAATTGTGATTTACATGACCCTAAAAAATCGACAAAATAATCCGTTCCAATCAACAATATGAAAGCGTTAAAACTAGGGGGTGATATTTGTGGTTTTCCAACCGAGGCGCAATCTAAAGCTTAAAGGTGAAAATTTAATTAGGAACAATATGATTTCCAGAAGGGAGATAAAGGGGTTAACAACCTTACATATATATGTTCAAATCAACACTATTCACACCAACGATATAATAAGTCAGAAAATGAAACAAAAGTATACAAATTACCGATAAAATCAATGGGCGGCTCAAGATTTACGAAGAATGGAAGTGAGATGCTAAAGAGTTGACGGTGAACTGGTGTACGTCCTGCATTCATGTCTCATAATTCTTGACTATCGTTAACAAGGAGCAACCGCAACCATGAGGAAGTTTATGCAACGTCAGAAATACGAACAAGTATTAATGCTTCAGTACGAGAAGTTACTCTTCTAAAATTTCTGGGAATTTATTGAACTAGTCAATCACTCTGTAATATTATAAAATAAGATAATAGGCAGGAAGGATGCTCATTTTTGTGAGAAGTTACAAAGTATTTACATAATACATAAACATAGCCTTCAATCATTTATTTGTATCCTTCGGTGTGTTCTGCCAACGCTGCGCTTTCTATGCACTGAAACTTCACTCCGTCTGACAATTGTTGTAACTTCGACACCACGTTCCGCTACACACCTACTTACAAACATGTTGTGAGTAGCGTCAAATACAGTATTTCTGTCTTTATAATTAGTAACTCATTTACCGGATACAAATTTGTTTACTGTCGATTAAGCCACACCATAAATTAGAGAGCTAATCATACAAACCAACTACTCAAACTGACATATATGGATTGGGATACAGACATATTTTTCACTGGCTAAAATGAAAATGCCTTGATGATTAAGCTACCATTTCACAAATGTAGTAACCATCATCACGTCTATTTCTTTTCAGTGCTGATAAAATCCATTTACTAAATTAGTTAATACTGTCAAAATAAGATACATCTACAACCACTACCATTAAACAGTAATTCCAACTGGTGGCAACAATTAACATATGGGAACTAGTCAAATATATATATCGATTTTAATGAATAAAATGTGAATCAGCACATTGAAAATGAAACCGTTTTCAGGGAGGAAATGCAACACTGGAACTACGGAAAGGGACAAATGTAGTGAAAGCAAATCAAGAGGTCATTAAATAGTAGAATGCAAAGTAAAGACAAGTAGTAATTTTAAGACAGAAGTGACAAAAAAAGAGTGCGTCTGCCTTGAGCTGCATATAAAACTGTGGGTCTACAATAGATTTAGAGCTATATTTTGTAATGTTTCCGGAATCATACGTTACAATTACTTTGAGTCTCAACCTGGAAGCCCAAACTTACCAACAAACAAGGTAGAGAACAACAGTCGATGACATCATAAGCTGATCCCATGTATTAATCTACTGGTTGTCAAATTTCTTCAAATATATATATATATCACATTCTGGTAATTATAATTTTCAGATAACCATTTAGTGAAATGAAAAATGTGGCACCTCCCAAATGCCCTGGTTTGGCCGAAAGTGGGGTGGGCCCGCCCTCCCTCTCGAAATGCTCTCACACGGCCACGTGTATACAGCTTCTTCCAGAGAAGTTCTACTTACTGCCTTCTCGTGGCGGTGGTATTGTCTACGAAATTGAGAGGACGAAAAGCGAATGTCCGGCGCTATAACCGGATCCCAAATCAATGGTGCACATGGGGCTCCAGTATCCTAAAGGAACAAATGGCGTGTGAACCAATCGTTGACCACCGGCTACCACGGGACTGCTCCTCACGATGCTCCACTGCCTTGTGGGTTAGACCTTTAGGTTGAAGGCTTGGGGTGTGGCCCCCTAAGACAACCACCTGCTTCGGTCTGGGCACCCGGGCAGTATCAGAGCCCACACACAAATAGAATGAAAATGACGATATTAGTGTGGCACATATATATTTGGTGCCCTCTTGTACCAATATTTATGTGTTCAAATAAATAAATGATAAATAAATGAAAAATAACAATATGAAAACAATTTAATTAAGCTAGGTAAATCTAGGTATATCACATGTACCAGTGTTTATATGACATTTCAATATCAAACACTTGGTGACAGATCATAAACGAGGCAAGCTGTTGGAAGAAGTCGATTACACTTGTGGTCTAAGTCTCAGTACATATTTCCTTGATTGGGTTAAAGAAATATATAAATATGTTTATCGATAATTTGTACACCTCTTTGTTCAAATTTTCCAACTACATCTCCTTATTTATTTACTAAACTTCTCACTTGGATAAGTTTGGTTTAGCAGGCAAATAGAAAGTATTTATATAAAAAATCATACCTACTAGCGGGGGCGAAGCCCGATCCATACGTTCGCGTCGTGCCTCCTGGATAGTGGGGCGGGTGACCCATGAACTAGCGTGATCGGGAACCCGGGTGGTAGAGATCGGACTAATCACCTACTCGACTGATTCCCACAAACCGATTAAGAAATCCACAAAGAATCACAGCACAATTACTCCTGGATCGAAAAACGACAAAAAAAAAACTCACAAAAGTGGTGCATGTAATATACGCAGTTGCTCCTTACAGGGTAGATTCCAACCAGTTGCAAAAAAAACCTATTCTAGCCCCTGTAGTTGTACCGTGCTTCGATGTGGCCTGTTTCTCCCCAGAAGGGCCTACTAGGCCTACTAACAGAAGTCAATCAGAATTACTCATTTCAGATTTTTTTAAAAACAATCAATATAGAATAAAATAGCACCAATAATCATCAACTTACAATAAGAAATCAGCCAAATCATATACAATTTCATATGCACGTTTAGGACAATGTATTAATTTTAAAAAACCAATTAATGTTTGTCCAATTGATGTAAAAATTTGTGAATATATTATTGATGAAGTAAATAATGAAATTAAATGATTATGAGCAAATAATATAGAATGATCTAATTGTATTTGTTCTATATTTATTTGATCTATTTCTAATTCTAATTGATTTCCAATATTATTTTGTTGTTGAATAGAAGAATCTTTAATTAATGATTGTTCATTGATTAAATTATCAGTAATTATTTTATTTAATAATGAATATTTTTCACGATGAATCGATAAATTCGATTTGATACACCATAAACCAATCAATTGTCCAATTTGTTTTATATAATTAAATACAATTAACCATAATTCAATAGAATAATTTTCTGAACAAAAAATATCTTTTTCGTTATTGATTTTATTTGATGAAAATTTATGCATTATTGATGAATTTTCTGTTGGATTAGTAACATTATTGATAGGTGATAAATGAGAAGTATTACGTAATAATGGATATTCATAACAACGAAAATGTGTGAAAATTTTATCAACTAAATGACTCATATACCATATAGTAACATTGGAATCTTTGTTAGCATCAATAAATACACTTTGTGTTGTTATGGTAGGTGTTGAAGATGATGAATGAGTAGATGATGATAATGATGATGATGGTGATGACAACGACCTATTAAATGATAACTTTGAAAGGCGGGTAAAATTAATATTCTCTAAAATATTATTGCATGAAAAAGCTGTATCCAATAATTCAATAATTGATTTATTAACATCATCCATTGAACGATCTGAATCTAGTCGGATATTTGTCAGTGTATTTAAACAAATACACAAAATCCAAACAGCGCGAAATAAATGATCCGTTTGAATCTACTTTTCAAAAGTAAACGAAGTTTTTTTATAAAATTGGAAACAAAAGTAATAAAACGATTTATTATTATGATTGGTGTTTTACTAAGTAATTTTTTGACTAAGATTAATCATATCAAACAAAGTGAGAAAAAAAAAATGAATTGGCTGAAGATACAGTTATTATACAGGTGGTTTTCTTGATATACCAATGGCAGCATTGAGAAAGATATTGGAAACAAGTGGCAAATCAAACACTATTCGATTGTTATCAAGAAATCAATATATTAGTTAATTAGAAGTAGTCAGGAGGAAACCCTAAACCTAGGTTTCATGATAGATGACATTTATTAGCAAGATGTCCATGCGATCTTGAGGGGACTGATATTCCTTGAAGGATTTGGACACGTGTTCTGTAGCTTCACAGTTCGAGACGTTACCACTGAGCTATCTGGTGAGCGACTTGGTAACTCGATCAACAACATACGATCAGCACTAAAGGACTAAACAATCATGATATTGGTCACTGCTTAGTTATCAACCAATCACCAAAATGAAGAGGTTAATATTATTTTATAATGTTGCTTAAACTTTGGCTGAGAGTTTTGTGGTTGTATTAAGTGAAAAGAACTAATAAGAGAAATTTGAAAATTGCAAAGGGAATGGATTGAATTTAGAGCAGAAAATGAACATTTTCAGGGCAGTTATATTCGTTTATTACATTCCCTCTCTCTTTTTGCTTAGTGGAAACTGAATATCACATGTACACCGATTTATCTGCTGCATTTTTCTTGGATCTTATTTCAACTATATTGAATACATAATGCCTGACCGTTGTTGCTACCTTGACGTGGTGGTCGGGCTTGCCTATCGTGATGAAGCAACTGAGCTATACTGGCTGGAACAACCGTTCCTCAAGGTCCTACCATGCCAGACAGGTCGGTTGAAGAGCGATAAGACTAAAAGCAACAAAACCAAGGTCCGAAGGCGAAGTCGTACTGCTGACTGTACAGAGGTGTGACAGCAGTAAGGTGTTTCCTTCAGACAACCAGCATGACAGCGATGCTGCCTTCCCACAAGGAGGGGTGGGGTTAGAAAAGGTCGACCCTAAAAATGCACACCTCGCCTTATCCCACGGATATCCGTCTCCGGCGGTAAGGACTCAACAAGTACGGAGCTAACACAAAAATCACTCATAAAAAGGTCGTGTGTGACCGACCTCAAGCAGCTGTCCCTTGGGCACTGCGGTCACGCTCTCAGGTCACTATGACCAACTCTAATCCAATTTCCTTTTCAGGTACCTCCAGAAGAACCCTTCCACGGTGTGGGCAACCGGGAAGTGATAACCGCCCTCATACCTCTAACTAACAGCTGAATACATAATATATCTAAGTGACCCTTTAATAATCGAGCGAAATAATCAGAAGACCTACAACTTAAACGTATTTGCAGATATCTATGTGTTAAAGTTCTTGCATTTTTATGGATAAGAAATTTAGTATGGTGCCAGATATGCACACCAATGCAACTTGATTTATGTATAGACTAACAAACATTGTGTGCTACACTTTATACTTAATCAATTAAGCGATGAATAGGAAACTTTCTTGCCAAGACCCGAACACTTATGCTTGCAAATCAAGCATATGTCTACAGATATATGGTTAGTTAAACTTATTTGGATAGGGATATGTAGGTAACGACCATGTGTAGATGAATAACTCACAACAGTCCGTACTCACTTGACTTTTAAATACTGCGTAGTCTTGAAAAAGGATATGAGATGTCAGGTCTTGGTTGATATATATATATATATATATCGGAAATCAATATAACGTTAGGTTAAGAATTTACTTACATCTAATATGTTTATTTCAGTTAATGTAGAACAAATGGTATGATAAGCGAGAGCAGGAAATTCGTTTAATCGATCACATATACATAATATTGATGCTTGTTTGGATAAAAGGTAATTTTTCAATTCGAATAATGTAGCGTTACGATTTTTTAAACGACTAGACTGTTTTATTTCTGTATTAGTCACATCCAAAGAATAATCACACACATAATATGATACTTCATCCGATGATGATAGTTGTGTTAATCGATCTAACCATTGAGGGCGTTTAGATCCTGAATAGAATGATAGATGCAGAGATAAATTCATGAGATTGTAAAAATCAACAAAAAGGATTTGATACTTTTAAAATTCTTTAATCTCCAAGTGAACTGGGATAGTCTGCAACGTGTTCAATGGTCACTTAGTGTGTCGTGATTTTCCCGTTCATTTAGTGGGTCAGTACTACATATTGAAGTGCAGTTTTCATTAGGAATTTCATTTTAAGCAGCTGGATTTACAATTGATCAGTGTATAACGCGATGGGGTTTGAAGTGAAAAATACTGGGTTCGAGTCCCTGAGTGAATACCAACTCTGGAATGCAGATACATCCAGCTAACGAGTTCAAAACAAGGCGAAAATCACATCCTGGATTCCACTGTTAGCCACCATCCATCTCTGACTAAAAATACTTGTGACTTACTGGGAATATCGAAACGATTCGTACAGAATGAACATATTCCAAAAGAGACTAATCAATTGCAGTTCTCAACATCAATAGGAGGATTAAAACAACTAATATATATATATATATATATATATATATATATATATATATATATATATATATATATATGAATTAAGACTAATTACCTAATGTATGAATTGAATGCCCAGTTTAATATTATCGTATTTCATATTGAAGATGAATTAGTTTTAGTCTAATCGTTACATTATTTTACCTCTTGAGATTCATCTTAATCATGAATAGTGTAGTGTAGATATAAGTTAAGATTACAAATCGTTTCACTTTTCGGCCATTCATACTGCTTAAATTTGGACAAAAGATTGAAACAGATCATTTATTCTATATTACATTCGTTTAAATAAATACATTAACTAATATAATATTAGATTCAGATTATTTGATAAATATAATGTTAACAGATCTATCAGCAGATATCACAATACTGTTTTAATATTCTTTTGACAGATAAACATATCAAACTATAAAAAAAATAACTATTGAAAAGTTAAACAAAAAATTACCTACCTTGTTGTGTTGACAGTTGAATACATTTAGAAAGTAATTCAGTTGCTTCACGATACTCGTGTAAAGCATGTTCATGTCCACCAAGAAACAAATACATATGAGCTAATTCTTCCTGTATAATTGTTAAAGAATATAAAATATAAATAGGTATACATCAAAACATAAATTGATATTAATTCAATAACTAACGAAAATTACATGTATATGGTACATATTATCACTTCCAAATAAATTTTTGAATCCAAGATAGAATTTTATCAGATATTGGAAAATGAGTATACTTAATTGAAACACTATGACAAAATAGATATTTGGGGGATAGGGGGGGAGGAAGAGAAAGAAATAATTCAAAGCAATTTTTTAATAACAGTATTAACAATCTATGGAAAAAAAAGTAGAAGAAATATTTCAATTGAACTAGTCATTTCTAGTTAATCCGGGTTACTACTCATGAATAATAACAAGGATAAGTGTTAAATACAAGAAGCATTTACTTATTAGAATAATTCTCATTTATTTATACAGAAATTAATTCAACTTTGACATTAGTATAGTAATAGAAAATAACAATAAAAACTGTGTAAAATAGAAATATAAATGAGAAGATACGTAGAAACATGAGATAAAACAATATGATACTGATGAGTTTAAGTCAACTAATCACATTGAAGATAGCGGTTTTTAAAATTTGGCACGAAACGTAAAACACAATTACAAATAGCTTGTTACTCAAAGCAATGATGTTTGACTATATCTCGTATTCTAACTGATTTTGAAGAGAATGTGACTGTATTGAAATTGATGGAATCATTATTCATAATAGAGGTTTAATAGAGGTAGAAATGTAAAAGCGGATTGAGTAGGTAGTATTTTGATAAACTTTCATTATTACCCAATTAAAATGCAGGTGATAACAATTAATTATTAACCACAAAAGACCAGAAATAATAAAATATACATAAAGAGTTTTTACAGGATTAGTGAACTTATTCAGCTTAATTTTAAGTTCATGAAAATTGAATTCATAGTAAAAACGATATAGGAATTCGTCAATATGACTTCATATCATTCATCCAATGGAGCCTTTAGACAACCAAGACATTTCTACAAATCTGATAGCTTATGTTCTTCAAGCCGAGTATAATTTCCAGTAATGGATGTGAGAATTAATGTCATTCTATTTGGAACATACCTCTCTGCAACGTCCTATCCCATATTTCGAAAACCAGTTAATTAAATTAAAGAAATTACTACTTGCCCAATTTACTTTTACATTTTTACTTCTATTAAACCTCTATTACGGGTAATGGTTTCATCGATTTCAATGCAGTCACATTCTCTTCAAAATCAGTTAGAATACGAGATATAGTCAAACATCATTGCTTTGAGTAACAAGCAATTTTAATTGTGTTTTACGTTTCGTGCCAAATTTTAAAAACCGCTATCTTCAATGTGATTAGTTGACTTAAACTCATCATCATAGTATAATTTCACAATAATCGTTATTACCTTTCTATCTAAATACTCAAAATAATCCCATGTAAAGGTTGAACATGAATCCGTAAGCATTTGTAAATGTATATCATAATCAGCAATAATTGACATACAAGCCGATATGATAGATTTACGAACAAGATAACTTAACTGATTCCATGATTCATTGAATAGTTTTTCTTCAGCTGAATTAGGTGCCGGTACTTCTAAAAATTGTCTTTAAAAGATATAAAAACTGTATACATGGATTATATCATATTAATATATGTTTGCTTTGATAAACCGATTATCTAAGCAAGAAATCAAGTAAAAACAAGCTTACGTGAGATTTAAGATTCAAAAAATAGTCAGATTCCTTGGGTTGAGAATAGTAATAAACTCGGTTTACAAAGGTGATTCGAAGCAAAATGGCTAATGAAGAAAGCACCAAATAAACAAGGTGACCAGTCAATCGAATACAGCTGAGTAGTATCTTTAACATCAATATGTGGATTGGTTTCAAATAATGATCTCTGGATATCTATTTTACGTTTCACTATGTCTATATACACAAGTTCTCAATGACTGATTTACTAAATTTCAAGAACGTGAACTATACGTATATCATGCGATGTTGGCAAGGAAAATCTTATGACAATTCAGGTCAAAGACCTAATAAAGTTCGCAATATATATTTGATCTCTTAAATTGGAGAAACTTGAATGTTGATTTATACACCTATTTAGTCAAACAATTTAAAGTGATGTCACTGATTACCTCACCGAATATGAGATAATGGCAACATATAAGGCAGACCGATAATCAAAGAAATATGGGAATAAGCACAAATGTTTTAGTATATTTGGACTAGTATTTTATTTATTTAAACATAAATAATGATACAAGGAGGCACCAAATAAATATACGCCACATAAATCATTCGATTTGTGTGAGGGTCATGATACCGTCCGTGTGCCCTAACCAAAAAGGCGATTTCGAAAAGATTTGCTCATGATACATGTATGGCAACAGAGGTTGATCGACCAGTACTAAAACTCAGCAACATTTCTGAACCATTACTATTCAGTGCGAAAAATTCGGTGTATTTTTTGAGACTAGGCAACCAGCATATTACTTTTATCTAGCGTTACACACGAAATGCTAAACAACTATACAATTACCAGGCTTTTGTGCATTTCCATAGTCCTATAACATGACAGCAAATGAAACACACATTTGACCAATATAATCCAAGATGAGATATACACACAATATGGACTACAGTATAATTTTACGGTTTAAGAATCATGAACTGGTATATCGAATAATATCATTATACTTATAAGCGTTCTGATATTGCAGGTGTTAACTGATAGAATCAACGTTCGTAAGATAGTATGTATTCACCTGACATCAAGAGGAATAATCACAGAGAACGGTATAACTGATGAGTTTTAGAAAGAAAAAAAAATAGAACACCCGATACTTTGATTTCAAATATTTATCCCTTCGAAATTAACATATTGAGTAATTCGATATCATACACTAAACAAAATGAAAAACATCAATCAGAAGACTTACCGGTCCCCTGTACGAACATTAAAATCACTTTTAATTTTGTCAAGTACATTTGATTTTTGTAGAATTTTTGGTGTGTTATACTGTGGATCAGAATTAACCATTATAATTAGCCAGTCAAATACATTTCTGGCACGTAAATGGCCTAACCAACTACCGATAGCATTCCGTCCACCATGTGAGGTATAATGAGAAACATCCTAAAATATTCAATCAAAAATAAAAAAAGATCGAAGTTCTAGTTAATTGTTGAACATTTAGTAACAAAAACAGTGCATGATAACAGTATTAAAAATAATGAACAGTTATATGCTCAACAAAACAACTTCGTAAAATGACATATTTGAAGTTCGAAGCATACATTGTCTTTTTGACAATATACATCTACATCGATGTGTTGGTAGTCACTTTTTACAATTCAAATCTGGAGATTCGAACGTGCATAGTTCAGAGCATTCATACTTTTGATCCATCTAAAAAACTCTACCATATAAATAAACCACAGAAATCTTCGATTGAGAAAAATAATCAAAAAACCAGAATTAAAAAATGGAAGGGAAGAGATTATGGATAGCAGAGTGTTAAAAAGTAACATATTCAGCAAATAGAATGCGTCATAGCAAAACAGTTCCATTTGTCTTTAGTCATACACCAAATAATTTACAGTTGATTGAATAGTGAATAATATCGTGTATGTTAAATGCTTCTTATTGTTTATCGAATTGTATTGATTGAGTAGAAATGTAATCACTAGTCCAAGGTTTACTGTTGACTACCGCCAATTGCCATCAACTAATTTATTCCATCATTAGTCTTTCTACTGTCTAGTAAAACTGGGTCAGAAAATATATACTTCCATGCATTCTGTTCAAACTACAGTTAGTTACTTCACAGAATGATACAACTTAATCATATAACTATGAGGGATTTACTTTCTAACCTCACTGTAAATGGTAATAAATCACGAGATAAATGCTAACTGAACATTTGCAACATATAATCGGTAATTTACAACACATACGACATTCAAAAGGAATACGTATAAATATCCAAGGCCAAAATTTGAAAATGGTTTTTGAATCTTAATGGAAAGCTTGTTAGTAATCACTGAAGATTCCGTAAGATTTTGTTGTCCCTCATTAAACCAACAAAGTGATAAAAAACTTTTTTTAAACAAAACATCCTTTTCCTTTGTATTGGTTATTCGAATCTTCCCACTGATGTTTAAGTCTACAACTGGTTAGTCTCTTTTGACATATGTGCGTACAGTGAGGATTGCCTCGATATTATCATTAAGTCACCAGCACTTTAGATGTGTGATTAGTTAGCTGAGCCTACAAAACTAGAAAGAAAGGTTTAGATACAACTTTAGTCGAATAACTACATGATTTAGTTGATTAAAATCTCTCTTTACACTTTAAAGTATATTACATTCTGAGAAACTAAGATGTACAAGTGAGAGTGATACCTGAGTTAAAAATCATACATTTACCTTTGAACTTACTATTCACCCTCCCGTATACGAATAAAAGAGGAATTTTAAGTTAATGAACCGGAATACTTTACTATGACCTATCCATTCAATTAATCAAACGGTCATATGATTTGATATCTAATTACACGTAGAGCACATTCACATCTCATCAACCCCATACGTCAACGAATATTCATCCCACTACCGAAAATGCATCTTCAGACACACTTAAAATGTAGTTAAACATGATCAACCGAAATATAATTAAACACATTGAAAGATTTGTATCGGTTAGGTTTTTAAAAAGTTTTCAGGCTTTTACTAGGGCAATTAATAAAGCCACTTAAGTTAGATGAGTCAATAAATATTATAAAAGCAGTGGATAATACTTACATTTGAAGTCACATAAATATAAAGTAATGGTTGAAATGTACCGACAGGTCGAATAGGCCTTCCACTTGATAAGACTTTGACGTTAGACTGTAACTGGCTGACACGAAATCTTGTAAAACATGCTCCTAATCGTACAGAATGAACCATTGACAGTTTTGGATGCTTCCATACCACCTGCTGACTCCCCAGAGTCGATAAACAGCGACTTTCGAAATAAGGCAGAAGATTTTCATCACCAGCACCTAAATTAAAAACAAATATAAATTTCTTAATGTTTATGAATTGAAAATAATTTCAACGAACGATGGTGATAAAATAATGACATCCTTTCCAACAAAGTTCAAGCAACACTCACGAAAATTTGATCGGATCACAGCTACCGTTCTGAAGAACTAGATGGGGTTAATCATCGCGATGACCTAACCAAACACTTGGGGTTTCTTGGAGATAAGGCCATAAGCAACACGTTTCAATTCCGAAGGTTATGTTGTAGCGGAAAATGGAGGTAGTGTGGCCTTCTTCACAAGTAACAAGCAACTGCAGTGACGCTACCTTCAGACACATGGAAGGACTGGTTATGAAAAGTTTGTCCTATGAATAGTACTCACACTTGCTTTATGAATCTTACGTGCAAGTGTTAAAGTTTAAGAAGTACACGAGACTACGTTAACAAGATGGTAACGTTGCGATATATTAAAGTGTTTGAACATAGTAGAAACCAGGATTCAGTAAGGGTTTAGACTTACTTCTTACTTAATCTGCATTTCAAACTTCACGACATATTACTTTCACTGTTTTATTTATTTATGATATTTCCATATTTCCTTTTGAGCATTACTTAGTGTCGAACTCTATATTGTAGAGGAGAGAAACATTGCAATATTTCCATCTTACACAATGATACAAGTTCCGGCTACCATGCTTATGATATGGCACTTGACTAGTCTATTTAGACTCTATTGTGAAAACAACGGGGATGAGATAAATTTAAAATAAATTTATCGAAATGTTGATTTTCACAGGTTTACCGGATAAAATCAACTGCTGATGAAATACAACATCCAAAGCACAGACAACTTATGTAATTAGCAAGCAAACAAACCTTAGTATAGTGAGTGATTTATAAAATAACCATTAATTCAAGAAACTAGTCTTTGAAACAAATGTAACAAAATCCTGAGAATATAACATTAAGCAGTTGTTTAATGGAGAAATTCATATTTCGAATGACTTACATGAAATAACTGGCTTCAATATGAAGTCCATTGAGGGTGTACTCAACTTGTTAGTTAAGCAAAGTGGTTTCTAATGTTCTAATGAATGGAAGGGATCAAGTTGTAGTTTTGTTGTGATAGGAGTGAAAAATATTAGCAATCTGAAAATGACACCTGAAAACCGAAATTAAGCAGGTATAATTCTACGACCAAAAGTTATGTATAGTTACATATTTATGTTAGAATATTTGAAAAAAGTCGTAAATTACGCATAAAAATGCCATAATTATAAGAACAGCTTTTGTATATTCAACTAGAAATTTAATGTCTTTACACTGCTGTATGCCCTGGTACGGCCGAGAGTGGGGAGAGTCCGCTCCCCCTCTCGAAATGCTCTCACATGGCCACGCATATACAGCCTCTTCCAGAGAAGTCCTACTCACTGCCTTCTCACAACACGGGTGTTATCTACGAAATTGAGAGGACGAAAAACGAATATCCGGCGCTTTAACCGGATCCCAAACCAATGGTGCACATGCGCTCCGATATCCTAAAGGAACAAATGGAGTATGAAACTATTGTTGGTCACCGGCTACCATGGGACTGCATCTCCTTACCGTGCTCCACAGCCTTGTGGATCAGACCTTTAGGTCGAAGGCTCCGGGTGTGCACCCCTAAGAAAACCACCTACTTCGGTTTGGGCACTCGGGCAGTATCACAGCCCTCGCACAAATTAAATAAGATTTGTGTGGTGCATATGTATTTGGTGCCTCCTTGTACCAATATCTATGTGTTCAAATAAATAAACACTGTTGTACGCTAGTACTCAGCCTACCAGAGAAATATTAGCTAAGAGTATTTCGCTCGATTCAATCAAACTCTAAATTATGTGAAAGTTTTACACTCATTGGTGAACGACTCATATTTTAGAATCACTGCGTTACTGAACAATCTGTGGTATGATAAAGGCTATTCCAAATGTCCTTGATGTCAAGCGTTTATGATTTTAGTGAGCTACGAGGCACCCAAGACTAGAGTATATTTTTAAGATCAACATGAACACGGACACGAATTGACACTGTAAATTACGGGAAATGATGAAATTTGTGAACCTAAACTGTCATGTATATGTTGAAAAGTGGAATGTAGCAAATATAACGCTCGTGTGTAGCAGATTAAGTAACCCATATCTGTGTATATAGGTATGTGAGGCTGACTGAGACCAATTTGTAGGGTTTTAGCAGTTTTAGTTACTGGATTTTCTGGATGTATATATGAAACAGCTGAAGTTACTAGAAGTCTCTGGAGCTGGGATAAAAATCGACCGTAAGATACTAAGAATCAAGTCACAACACAGCCAAAAAATGATTCTCCCAAAGTTATTAGTAAACGCTCTCTGTGCATATACTATGTGACAATGGTCACATGCGAACCATAATATTTAAACTAGATTTCCAATGCCTTTATAATATATATTACAAACCAGGTACAAATTCACTATGAAAAATACTATAATATGCCATATTGGTTTGTTTCTAGCCTTAAAGAATCTGGGTTTTTTTGGGAAACGTTTTCAGCAGTGTGTGTGAGGAAATCTGAGCCTAGGAAAAAACAAGTGAACTGACGACTCAGCTAGTACATAGAATGCACTTACATTTGTATGTGGAAACAACTGATAACAGTCAGTAACAAAATGTACCAAAGTCAATTCAACAATCACAACTAGGAAAGCTAGTAAGAGATTTTAAATTCGTCACAATGCATTAACGCCAAACTGTAAACAGTATGAACATATCAGGCGGGTGAACAAGAAGCCGATATCCAATATCTTTATACTCAGCTTGAATATTGTGATTACCTTGCGCTCGCTTCCTGATGTTACGCTAAGGTCTCAGGCCTTTGGTATCATCCAATGTGGATAGTCCAGCCACTCGACTGCACTAATCCTAATGGATTTGATAGCTGATTAGGGATTAATCCGTCTTGTATATAAATGAGTGGGTTCGTTATTTGGTAGTAGGGTTGCTAAAACCACCAACTGCCACATCACTGAGATGAAAATTGGTTTGTTGCAGAATAGAGTTCACAAAAGTATATCGAAGATAACAGTTAATATCTACAACCATTGTTACGAGCTTGTGTAGATCGACTGATTCCTTTGGGATCTCTTCCTGTTGTTTCGGTACGGTTACAGGTGTTCGGTAATGTCCAATGGGTGGTAGTCTAACCGTTTGATTGGACTAATTCTAGTCAGTTCGATAGTTATTTACGAACTTGTATCGTTTATAATTTAAGTGAATGGGCTTGTCACAAGGCTGTAGGGATTCTGGATACCAACAGCCATCATAATGCCAGGCAGAAGGTCGTTCGGTCACAATGTAAAAAATACCAATGGAAAAATTCAAATGCTAAGGTGAGACGGTTGTCCCTAGAAATAATAAGCGAACATAAATAAATAACTTCATTAATTAATAAGACATATGGTATGCTAAGAGGGAAGTATAAGGATACAAATGGGAAACAGTAGTGGTGATAAGTGGGAAAAGAACACGTTAATTTCGTTTCACAACGATAACTTCAGATAGGGCATGGCTGGTCTAAGCGAGAGATGGTAGTCCATAAATTTTGTTAAGTCTCTTCTTGAGGTTATCCATTGTGGGGGCCGTGGACACTTCAGCTAGGATAAAGTGGTGGCGTAACTTAGTTTTCACTCTTTGATGTGCAGTCTTTTAGGGTTGTCCTGAAGGGTATGGTGTTGGTTTTCTGGTAGGATACTCGTATCTGGTACGTATCTAGTACGTCGCCTGTTATTATCAAATCACACCTCATTCTTTCATAGACCAGCGAGAATAACTCGACGTGTTGAAACCTGTCTTTGTAAGATTTACTCTTTAGCTCTGTTATCCACTTAATTGCCTGTCTCTATATTTCGCACAAGAGACTAATGTTTCTTTTGAAGAGAAGCGGTGAGACAGCATAGTGTACTTCACAGTGGAGCCGTAAGTGCGTTATAAGGAGAGTTGGGAACAATTTTGAGATGATTGTCTTCTTACAAACTTAAGAGTTAGGTTTGCTTTGGCTGTATTTTCTATTTAGTTTGAACTAATGTAAAAGCTCTCCAATGTTACTAGCCAGAGATCGTGCTCTGAAGAGACAGCTGGAAACGAATTTCCATGTTGGACGTAAGCTCTTTATGTCACAGGAGCAAAACGTTCATTATGTGACACTTTAACGGGTTGATTTTTAACCCAATGTCCACTGCCCAATCACATGTCGTTGTCGAAATCCCGATGAGCTTAGATGAGTCCACTTCACTTCTTGTTGGTGTCCATATCTTTGAGTAGTCCATGTAGGTTAGTGCTGCTGAGCTGAAGGGTCATTAGTGAAGATCAAAAACAGGGGTAGGTCAGAGACTGTCTTCTGTGAAACTCTTGATTTCAAAACCCTGCAGTTAGTGTGCACTCCATTCACCCATGTCTTGAACATTCTGTCATTTGGCTAGTTTCAATATCAAAGTAGAAGTGGGTTAGTGAAACCCATCTTTGCAATCTTACTTATAAGGAGTACATGTGACGCTGTCGAAGGCTCTGCAAAATCAGGGAATATTGCATGGACCGGCATTTCTTAGTTCAAGGAGGTCGACCAACTATTCCATGTTATAAGAAGATTCAACACAATGGTTTTGCCTTTACTGAATCCGTTTTCGGTCCACGGATAATGTTATTTTTATCCACGTATTCTCTCAAATGTTCCTCCATTACTTTCTAAGTATTAGCATAAGCCCATCGTACTGCCTAGGTACTGGAACATTATAATAACGGCGAGCCCAGCTATCACGGAAACTGCATTTGAATGCTGAGTGGCCTTCGTTTTTCCGTCTTGTCTTCCCAATAGGCTGTGTTAACGGAAGCATGTATCGTCCTTTTCCCCTGATATTTCATTGCTTACTGGTCATACTAAGAGCAGGAATCCGGGTATGAGTGTGATTTGAGTGATTAGTTGGATGCTAGTCCATGATGCCCGAGTTGAACAGTCAGTGCTGTATACAATGCTATACATTTCATCATCTTGTGTCATTTTAGGTTTGCTTATAAGCTTGTTGATAGATAGGGGGATTTTTTAAATTATTATTAACTCTTGCATTAAAACCTCTACTAGTCGGCCTTGTAGTGATAGTGTAAGTACTGGTAGAAATGCTATTACCGTGCAGTTTACCCAGCAGATTGGGGGTCGAATATGAAACAATATAGGAACTGAGTGCATGAGGTTTAAGTTATGAAAGACAGAATTGTAAAAACAAGCGGATGTAGGCTACACAAGAATAAAGCTCAAGGGATACTTAAAATTAAAGCGTCACCTTTAACTGTCCTACCAAGCAACTTCGCGTGTATCTAGTAACTCTGTAACAGCCCAGGTCGATTGGCTAAGAGTTGATCTCAAGCAACTAAGCATATGTCAAAACAACATAGTTCAGATATTTATTCATTTCTTTATTCTGTATAGGTGTTATATTCCTAATTATCTTATATTGTATGTTGAGAGGCTTTGTTTGTCTGAGTAAGGAATTCCACGCCCCACTGTGATTGCGCGAAGATCAAAATAGAGACCTATTTCCTACTAGCCTGGTTTCTTCTATTAATAACACGAGGGTCACCAACAGGCACGAAAACTCTACATAAGTTGTATGTTTAAAAGAAACTCACTGTATGTCACAGTTGACACATTTAAGAAGAGAGTAGTTGACTTATGCGGCTAGACTTACTACACAATGGTTCGACCTTGGTATAATTAAAGTTGTCAGATATATCATTGTGATGGAAAGCAGCAGTTTTTGTCTTCCGGGGGGTTGAATATTCTGATCTGGCGGTCGAAACTTGATACTTTCTTTTCTTGATGTGACAACAGATCCAAACAGCGTGTGGCAGAAGTAGCAAACTGTTATCACTCGTCATATGCATCTTCATGGCATTAGAGCGCTCTTGATAATGAAATAGTGTGGTCCCAATCATATCAATTCTGGATCCGAGGTGTATAATAAGTTAGTACTTAATA